TTACCATCTGAACCATTTTTAAGTGTACAGTTTAGTTGCTTTCATATTGTTGCACAATTGATTTGTAGAACTGTTTTGTCTTGCAAAACGGAAATTTTAAACCCATGAAACATCTCCCCCTCCCACTCTCCTCCCCCAGTCCCTGGTAATTACCATCCTACTTTCTGTCTCTATGAATTGGACTACCTCATCTAAATGAAAATACATGGGGTTTGCATTTTTTTTTGTGACTGGCTTCTTCCACTGAGCAGGACTTACAGATAAATGTACTTTAAAATATTCTTAACAAGAGCTTTGTAGGAAATGGCTGTCCGTTTGGCCATCTATGGGAGTTCAATGGGAGTGTCTCATTAATTGGAACCGTTAGTTTATTGCCAACCTGGCAAGATTCCTAATGGGCATTAGCACAAAGAAGCCTTAGTGAGTAGAAATAACCCGCTGCTTTTAAAGAATTTTGCTCGAAACCCACAGTAAGAAATATTGTCTTTCAACCCAGTACATCACACTTATATTTTGATACCTGAACATAAAGTTTTTTGTACCAACACATAATCCTTACTATGTGAAATGCATGTATATTTTTTTTCTAAAAATGCGTCTCTTTAAAAAAAATGCTGATCTTATGCACTCAAATGATCTCATAACTCAAGAAAAGGCCACCACATACAGTTTGGAACACTGTGCTTTTTGACACACCGGGGTTCAGTTCCATGACACCCACCCCGGGGCCCCAAGAATTACTCCTCAAAACAAACAAAGCCATCAGGCCTGGCTTCACTTCTGATTTTAATGCTGGCCTAAGTAGGATTCGCTTCACTTGAAAATTCATTCTTCAACGATTGTGCTCTGTTTCTCGAAGCCAAATAGCAATGATGACAGCACGCTATGCAGTCCATTTTACATGAACGGGAGCACATTCTATCCATTAGAGTAAGTGGGGGACTTCACACGCAAGTCCTTCTGGGATCTCGGGGAAGAGCAGTCTGAAACTCTTCGTTCTGGGTTTATTAGGAGGTTGTATCACTGCTCTGGTCAACAGGTGTCCTACTACCCACGTGTGGCCATTTCATTGAACCAATTGAAGTTTGTAATACAATTAAAATCCAGTTTCTCAATCACACTGACCACTTCAGTAGCCACCTGAGGCTCGTGGCCACCATCCTGGACAGTGGGGACACAGCATTCCCATCACTATAGGAAGTCCCTGCACAGCATGGGAGAGAGTAGGAAGGAACCAGCTAAGTCATCGCTGAGACTGCTGTGTGTAGAACGTGAGCCAGGGAAAAGAAATGGACAATAGCTTTGGCTCGTTGGTCCCTGGATGTGACACACAGGTTGCTGGTTCATCTTAAACTTAAAACAAACAAACAAACAAAAAAACAAACAAAACACACACACACAAACATAAAAACAAAACAAACAAACACACAAAGTTCTTCTCCCTTTTGGCATTCCCAATCATTCCCCAAATTCCACCTCCCTGGCCCACATACTGTTGCCTTCATCCTCATCATGTGACTCAGTGATTCAGTTAGGCTGACCAAGCAGGCGTCCTGGCTGGACAAAAGGTGCTTGGCAAAAGCCATGTGGGTTTTATTTATTTTCTACAGACACACCTCATCACTGCCGCCCAGGGGATTCCCTCCAGTTTTTAAGGATCAAATAAAGCGAGGTTTCCTCAGAGATGAGACAGCAGAGCTTTTGAACTGGCCCAGCAATAGGGGAGGAAGGGAAGTCATGTTCCAGACGCGAGGCAAACGGGCACAGGCCTTTCTCCGTCTCATCTCCTCCGGGTCTGCTTCACTTTATTTGGCTGAGTCAGAACTTCTTCCCACCCCCAAACCCTAGGGACCCTCTGCAAAGGCACTTTATCTTATCATTATTCTAGGTCTCTCTTACACATACAGAGGCTTTGTTTCTCTCCCCCCGCCCCCTGAAGTCTGGAGATAATGCAGTTTTTGCGAACAGGGGAAAGGTTAAGGGGAGAAAGAACTGGAGTCTCTTTATTATTCTGCCTTTTCTTTCTCACAAAGCAGAGAGGGCCTAATTCTCTGAGCTGGGAGGGGATTATTTTCAGACTTAGAGGCTGCCCTGAGCAACGCAGGGAGGAGCCTGACAGCCCCGGGTGTGCAAGTACAGACTAACTTGAAGTAGCTTGGATGTAGATGGAGCAATATGGTCCCTTACAACATTACTGACTCTGCAATTTGATATCTGCCCTGTTATGAGTGAGGTGAATTGGTTTTGATTGGCTTTCTCAACAGAAATTTTGAGATGCTCTGTTTAAACAGTGAAAAACCAAATAAAATATCTTACTAGTATACTCATGTAGCCTCCAGGGAGTGCAAAATATGTTCTCAAGCATCATTGCATTGGACACTCCTGTTAAACCTGTGGGCTGGGGCACAACACTTGCAGAAGAGAAAACCTGGGCCCAGAGAGGTACAGTGACTTGCTCAGGGTCACACAGCTCGTGGGTAGTGGGGCCGAGTTTTGAATCCCACTTGCTCTCTGAGAACAGTGCTTTACTTCTCACTTACATTTTGGGTTTGTAAAATAAAATTACATTTAAGTTGGGTAAATAGTGACACAAATATGACAGTTGGCTCTATAGATGATAGCAAGGGGTGGGGGAAAGAGCAACTGTAGTTGGGTGGCATGGGTCCTGCCCTCAGGGAGCTTTATTTGAAGAGGAAGCAGTACCTGTACGAGCAACAGATACACGTTATCCTAGAACAAACTGGATGCATTAGTGCTATAGATGACGAGAAAATGACTGAGTTCTTTATAGATGGTTTTCTGAAAGAAAGGGATTTTGAATCAGAATTGGACGAATTTTCACAAGATTAAGAGCAAGGCGTTCATTCTAGCCAGGGGCAGAGCGTGGTGTGGAGAAAGTGTTGCAGAGAATCTGGTTCCATTTGGTGGACTGTTAAGAAAGGAGAACTGGACACCTGCTCATTATTTATTGAGAATCTACCCTGCAGGAGATATTGTGTAGAGTTGGGTTAACAGTGGTATGCAAAAGAGACATGGTCTCTGCCTTCCTATTGCTTAGACTTTTTGTTGGGGGGTGGGGGGTGGGAGGGGAATGGAGGAGAGACTAAATACTGATTATTGATAATAAAATAGTTGCCCAAATATTTTAGATTCGATTGTATCATCTGGTGCCATGAGTGAGCAGAGCATTGGAGCTGGTGTGTGAGGAGCAGTAGTTAACTCGGCAGATGGTTTTGGTGCAGAGAGCAGGAAAGGGGTGCTCACGAGAGAAGGCGTAGCCTGTGCAAAGGCCCTGGGCATTTGCAGGAGCTGGCATAAGGCCAGTGCGCTAGCCTTGAGAGAGTGGAGGGGTGTGTGGCTGGAAATGAGGCTGGGGAGGCGGCATGATCAGATTTTGGTCTTTAGTCTCAGAGTCGTGGGAAACCAACCTATCAAGGATTTTAAGTAAAAATGACATGAAAAACATCTTCCTGCTAAAAAGATCACTTTGGCTGCAATGTTGGGGTGCGGGGGGCGGGGGGTGCAGGGAAGACAATAGCTTCTTGGAGTCATCCCTTAGGAGGCTGCTGCAGTGAGCCAGGCAAGACATGGCGGTGCTTGGTGCAAGGGTCAGTCGTGGAGATGGAGAGCAGTGGTGAGTTTCCATGGAGATTTAGGAGATGGAACCTACAGGGTGTGGTGTTATGGTAGGTAATGGAGAAGCAGACGATAAGATGGCTCTTGAGGTCTTGGTGCTCTTGTGGGCTGGGTGTGGAACTGGTCACTGCGATGGAGAACCTTGGACATGGGACCAGCTTGGGGAAGATGATGAGATCCGGGTTGGATATACCATAGGCCAGTGGTCAGCAAACTTCAGCTCACAAGCCACATGCGGCTCTTTGGCCTCTTGAATGTGGCTCTTCCACAAAATACCATGGCCTGGGTGAGTCTATTTTGAAGAAGTAGCGTTAGAAGAAGTTTAAATTAAAAAAATTTGGCTCTCAAAAGAATTAAAAAAAAAATTTTATTGATTTTTTTTCAGAGAGGAGGAGAGAGGGATAGAGAGTTAGAAACGTCGATGAGAGAGAAACATCGACCAGCTGCCGCTTGCACACCCCCTACTGGGGATGTGCCCGCAACCAATGTACATGCCCTTGATTGGAATCGAACCTGGGACCTTTCAGTCCGCAGACTGACGCTCTACCACTGAGCCAAACCGGTTTCGGCTCAAAAGAAATTTTAATCGTTGTACTGTTGATATTTGGCTCTGTTCACTAATGAGTTTGCCGACCACTGCTGTAGGCCGTTGGGATGGGAGCTCAAAGAGAGGACTGAGCTGCAGTGAAGCATGTGGGCCACTGGTGTGGAAGTGACCAGGGTGGCTCTGAGCATGGAGGACTTTTCCCAGAGAGAAAAGGACATTAAAGGAGGAGAGAAGGATCAGGCAGTGAGGATGCTCCGTGACTAGGTAGAAGAGAACAAGCCAGCGGGAGTGGGTAGGCGGAGGGGAGTCAGGAGGTGCTGGGGTGCTCAGTCATTGAGATGGAGGAGAATTAGATAAAAAGGGGGCATCCCTGTCTATCTAGACCCATTTCTGTCGCCACCTCAAATCTATTACATGGCAGCCATTCATCTCTAGATCCGAGACACTTCCGTAGGCACTGTGACAAGGTCTATTGATTTTTTCCTGGTGCCAGGACAGATGGCAGTGTGTGTGCGTTTGCTGCCTGGAACAAGAGCCTCCTTTCCTCTCCCCGACATCATGCACTTTGGCTGGCACTGCGGATTGTTGCAGATCTGAGCTTGGTTAATCCCACGGAGGACTAAGCGGTGTCTGGTCTCGGTGGCTTTGTAATTCTACTCCAGGCACCCCACCGTCACTTGCCAGCTGGGATCTCACTGCAGTCAGCCTGCTGCACACAGTTCAATAGGAAACGCGTTGAGCTGGTGTGACAGGCTCCATGAACTCTCCCCATTCGGCTGCCTGTTCCCATCCGCCTCTGCTTCTGCTCTCTTCCCAGGATGGCTGCAGCGCCTCCCAGCTGCTGTCTGGTGGCCTTCCCGCCTCGCGCTAAGGACGGCCTGGTGGTGTTTGGGAAAAACTCAGCTCGGCCCAGGGATGAAGTGCAAGAGGTGGTGTATTTCCCCGCTGCCGATCACGAACCTGAGAGCAAGGTGGAGGTGAGTGGTGCTCCGCGGCCTCTCCATTAGCCCCACTCTCTTCCTCTTCCCCTGCCTAACGCCTTCTTCCGTGAGGTCTGTTCGAGAGTCTAAATGGTCATGATTTGCTGACCATTGGCCTAGGAGAAAACATAGTGTCTATAGGGTTTGGTACTATCAAGCATCCACTGGGGGTCTCAGATGTGTCCCCAGCAGATGAAGGGGAACCACTATATAGATGTGTCTGAAATAGTTTTAGAAATGCGTGTTTTCTTTTTTTGGGGGGGATAGGCTAAATACATTAATATATTAGTCTAATGGTTACAATCATGTTAAGAAATAGATGATCTCACTGGTTGGCCCATGGAATGTTATTACTAAAATGCCCTGTAGGTTGAATTTTGTCCCCTTGCATAAATCCGTGTGGTTTGATACGCCCCAGGATTAGTGTCTCAGGCACCCCTGACCTCTCTCTGTGTTGTGAGCTGCCTCCGTATATTTCCACATCCAGACTCTGCAGGTAACACAACCTCACATGTCTGAAAGCGAATCATTTTCCTATCTCATTTGCTCCATGTACTCGAACAGCTCCACTCTTTGCCAGAGTTTAATCTAGAAAACGGAGACCCTCATTTTCGTACTCATCACTGATGCACAGGGACAGCTTCCTCTCCAATGTCCCCATCTCCTCCCATGGCCCCATTTCACTCAGATCGACCTCAACCCCCTCCCTCATCTTCTTATCGGTGCCCCATCTCTTTTCCTGGAGTCTGACCCCTGCAGGGTCACCAGTACACACACCCTCCCTCCCCAACACTGCTCTGTCACTGCCTTGTTTAAAAATGCTGTGCTATGTTTATAGGATGAGAGTGATTTGTATGCCCTTCAGAACTCTTCCCAAGTGGCCCCCTGCTCACTCTTCTTTTCTCTCTTCCAAGTGAATACTTATTTTTAGAGCAGTTTCAGGGTTACAGGAAAATGAACAGAAAGTGCAGAGAGTTCCTATATATAACCCCTCACCACCCCCACCCGCCCCCAGTTTCCTTCATTACGAACACCGTGCCTTAGTGTGGAACATCCTTAAAAACCGTAAGCCAAGATCGACACCTTCCGGAGTCTACATTAGGGTTCGCTCTCGGTATTGCACACCTTCTGGACAAATGTATAATGACACCTACCACCATTAATTACAGGGCCTTACAGAATAGCTTCTCTGCCCTAAAATCTCCTGTCATTCTCCGCCCCCAGCCTTTGGCAGCCACTGATCTTTCCCCATCCCTGTAGTTCTGCCTCTCCTAGCATGTCATCTATAATAGTTGGAATCACACAGTGTGTTGCCTTTTCAGATGGTTGCCTTTTACTTAGTGCTGTGGTTGGCAAACTGAGGCTCACGAGTGTGGCTCTTCCACAAAATACCATGGCCTAGGCGAGTCTATTTTGAAGAAGTGGCGTTAGAAGAAGTCTAAGTTTAAAAAATTTGGCTCAAAAGAAATTTCAGTCATTGTATTGTTGATATTTGGCTATGTTGACTAATGAGTTTGCCGACCACCGACTCAGTCATAGGCATGTAAGTTCCTCTGAGTCTTTCCCAGGCTTAGTCATGCCTTTCTCTCCAGTGCTGAGGCACACTCCTTGCCTGGATGCACTGAGTGTAGCTTTCTTCACCTGCTGAAGGACATCATGGGTGCATCGGAGGGTGGCACTTAGGAATGAAGTTGCCAGAGACAACTTTTTGTGTGAACATACATTTTTAACTCGTTTGGGTAAAGATACTTTTCAATGTAATTTTACATTTTGAATAGATAACATTTTGATGCAGTTTAACGATTCAGTGAGAAGTCTTACTCTCCTTTCTCCCGATCTACTCAGATTTCCTTGTTATGTAACACTTTCTATAAATTTCTTGGCCAACAAATATGAATACTTAGCCATTTATGTTCTCCCATGAAAGTAATGTTACATACACTTTTCTGAAACTTGATTTTTAAATATACAATTTTAAACTTCTAGAAAAGGTCTACCCATTTGCTCTTTTTTTTTTTGGCTTGATAACACTTTCTGAAGAGTTTCTATATTTATTCTTAGAAATTACAATTTTTTCCAACTGATAATAGTCCCTTGAGGAGATAGTCCATCATTTATGTAAACAGTCCTCTATGGTGGACGCTGGGACTGCTGGCCAGTCTAGGAAGTATAGCCACGAAGAACACTGCACACAAGTCATTCTGTACACGTGCGGACATAACTATGGATACACTTCCAGACAGGATCGCTGGGCCGGGGTAATGTTTATAGTAATTGAACGCCACAAGCGTTGTACAATTTCCTGCTTGCTTTTCTGTCATCCTAGCTTTCCTCTCACAGCCTACACCATCAGCCTGACGACACCGAGCTGCTCGCCATTTCTTGAACAAACAGCACATCTGTATTTCTCTGTGTTTTTGCTTTTTCTATTTGTTGCCGGGAATGTCCTTCCTTTCCCCTCCGGCCACCTACTTGCTAGACTCCTATGCATCTTTCAAGTCCCCATCACTGATAGCCCTTCCTCCCTCCAGCCTGCCAATCTTGTGTGAACATGTAGCGCTGACTGCCATTATAAATCAATTGAAATGTGCAACCGCCTGCATCTGGGGGGATGCGTTCTGGCCCGGGAGGCAGGGCCCTGATTTCCAGTATCACCTTCCCTGTCCACTGGATGTTGGGACTTTGAGACTCAGTTTCCTCATTTGCCAGCTGGAGATCATAACATGCACCGTGACAGGCTTTTTGTGAAGCATCCGTGAGCTGACATGCGGAAGCACTATGCGGACTCTGAGGAGAACGCTGTGCTGAGATATTGGTTCTCCCCTGCCCGCTTCTGAAGAACTGACTGGTGTGTGAGATTCTGTGATCCCTGGTCTCCAAAACCCCACCCATTCGCACGTGCTCCCGAATCCTATCTGCTGTTCAGACACCCGCTCAGGCCTCTCATTCCCTTGCAGTCGTACCTGACACTTGTCCCAAGCGCACAGTGACGGGTTCTTTTCCATGTGTGGGCCTGGGAGCCACAGTAACGATCATGCTACTTTCACAGCAGCTGTCGCTAGCAGCTAGAATTACATTTTCAAATATGAAAAGAACTTCCCACAAAAACCCTCCTATTCCTCAGCCATTTCGTGGCAATGTAAGTATGCACAGTCTGTGGTTTTCCTAGAAATGGTATACTTGGGGGCTGAGGTCCCAGAAGCTGGGTTTCTGAGAATAACCATGTGCAGAAAGTCTTTCTGATGACTCATCCCCTCACCCGCACACCCTCCCAGCTGGCCCCTTTTTCTCTGTGATCCTCCCTTCGAATTAGCCTACCCTCCTCCCAGTCTGTCCATGTGTCTGCCCGTTCATCTATCATCTACTATATGTCAAGTTCACTTTGCTTGAGACTTCAAGAGGAAGAGATCAGGTCCCCCAGATCACCTTGCCTTAGTTTCTAAAATTACATGGCTTCTGTTCAGCTGCACAGTTGGCAGATGGGAACATCTTGTTTTATGTTCGTTAGTCTTTCTCTGTAGGCTCTTGAGTTTTTAACAACCCCTCTTTGGGTTGCAGAGCAGGATGGATCAATATGTAGCTATTTGTGAGAGCCCCTTGGTCCTCTCTGAGGATGCTGTGCCACCATGCATCATGGGACACATCCCAACCTCTCCTCAAGCCCTGGTCCTCCCTGTGGCGGGGCAGGGGAGAGATGGTGGTGGTGGTGGAGGTGGTGAGCAAGCAAAGGAGTAATTTCCTGGATTATGATGTGTGTGTGTGTGTGTGTGTGTGTGTGTGTGTGTGTGTGTGTGTGTGTGTTTGTGACCTGAGTTATAATTCTGAAGATTATCTCTCATAGGAGGAAGCTCAGGTCCTTCTGGAATCAAAGAGAGCTAAGCAAAGCTCTGTGGCACTGGGTAGCGTGTATGCCACTTCTGTCTGTCTGTCCGTTTTTTGTTTGTTTGTTTGTTTGTTTTCCTTTATTCCCAGGGGCAGGAGTTCCTGGTCTTGTATAAAGTCAGAAGCATCTCTCTCGCCCCATGGAAGTGTGGCTTAGCCGGGGTTGTCCTTCTATCTTCGCTCCCAAGCCTGCCTCTGACCCAGGCCTTTGCGCTGCCCATCCTCAATCATCTCACAGCTTTAGGGAAATAAGATGTGCTTGGAATCTATATTTGTCTTTATTTAGACTCATCTGAACCTTAAGGACATATTTTCAAAACCAGTTAAGTAGCAGACAAGACACTGGGATTAAAAAACACACCACACACACCACACACACACACACAAAACCCCCATCAATGAACTAAGCAAAAACTCAGTGATGACTAGCAAGGCTGCTTTAGAGTTGCAAATCTTCCAAAACTAAAAATATTTCTCTGAAGCATCCCATTTCCCTGCCTTTTCTTTTCCTGCCTGAGAAATCTGGCTGACTCATCAGCTCATGTTAGCAGCTCTCGCTGGCGGTGCCAGGGCGGTGCTCCCCAGCTGAGCGCCGGGAGAGGCACAATGGCCGTGTTTCACCAAGTGAAGCGCCCATTGTGTGTGTCTCCAGCCCTCCTCTCCCGGGGTGAGATCCAGAAATAGTATGTGTTGGAATGTGCAAGGGGCAGGCGACAGCATGAAGCTGACCTCGCTTTTTAATTTTTGAGACAACCACGCACAATAACAGAGGACTTGCTCTGTGGAAGAATTGTCTTCTGTCCTCTCCAGGAGCCCCCAGAGAGAGTGGCAAGCTCAATTCAGGGAACACCTTTAAAACCTGGTGATCAGGCCGTTCTGGCGTGTGGGAGTCTGCCCCCATGCCATCCTCCCTGGGCACTCTCCTACTGTTGTGTGGCCTTGGCCCCCAAAGGCACACTAGCCATAGACCTGCTTTGTTCCAGGCTGGTTAGGAGTGGACGTGGGGTAGCAAGACAGTTTGCTCACCACTGTCACCGCTTAGTGACTGAAGCCGATGCCAGCAACATCCCTGTAAAGATGGATCTTGTAAGCAGTGAATGTTTTCTTTTTCTTTTCTGAGAGGCATTTGGCTAGGAATTTTGACTGGGCAAACTAAAATGTTTTTGGCACACTAAAAGATTTCGGGTGCTTTTTTGGATTTTTTTTTTTTCCTGGTGAGACCTCTGCTCCCTCACACCCCGCTTCCTCTCTGCCTTGTTAGTAACTGGCAAATGTGAAGGCCGTTTGAAACTGAGGCCTGTCTGTTAATATGTGCCAGACAGGATATAGCAGTGAACTGCTGCGGTGTTCCTGTTCTAGGCAGCTGGCTTTCCACAGTTCAGCTGGCTACATCTTAGGCAAATGCTCCTGGTTTCGAGGTTTGCTCCCAAAGTGGGATTTTACATAACCCATCTGTAGGCACCCAATGGGTCCGTCCTCCCTTCCCCTCCCAGGCCTGGATGTGATTAGTCAGGTTGCAAACACAATAGCGTGTGTGTGAACTGCAGTCATGGAAGGGCCCATGTTAGGCCCAGGCTTCTGTGGTTCCTGACAAAGATGCCCTGAGGGGTAGGTGTTCCAGGCTCACCGAGGCTTGGGTGGGGCCACACCCCATCTCCCTGTGCCTGCTCTGTAGCATATGAGGGGCAGCTGGGGTGACGGCTTCCCAGCTACGGCTTAGGAGAGACTGACTAGCCCATCTGGCTGCTCGGGATCTCCTTCCTTCCTCCTCATTCTGAGTTTGGCCTGAAAAGTTGGCCGCATATATTCTGAACTCCCACAAAGACCATATGGTCTTTCTGATTCAACTGTCAACATTTTTCTCAGGTGTCATGTAGTGAGCTCTGGCAGTCCTGTGACTCAATGATAGCACAGTGGTTGTCCTGAGTGGTACAGGAGGGGCCTTCCCTGCACGGTGAGCACACCTTTGACACCCCCCATCTGCCTCTTCTCCGGCCTCTGTCTGGAATACCTTGATGTCTGGACCATTTTTCAAAATCAACGCAAATATCACCTACTTGATAAAAGCTGCTGACCACTAGGATGTGTTCCCTCTTCCCTTCCAATCCTTATTCTCCCTTTGACCTTTGTTACTCATTCATTCATTCATTAATTCACCCACTCACTCATCCATTCAAAGAAAGGTTTATCGATGCCTTGTTTGTACCAGACTTGGGATATAGCAGTGAACTGAACAACAGAGACACCTCCCTGTCCAGGTGGAGGTAGCATACATCAGTCATACATGCAGTACATAAGTCAATTAGATAGTGCTCTGGAAGGGGATAAATGGAACGGAGTGTGAAAAAGAAAAAGCAGAATAGGATTGCACTGACCAGAGGTTCCAGGAGGAGGCGGGGGCAAGAGGCCGCACATATTAATAGACAGGCCTCAGCGACACTCACAGAGGCTGGCCTTGGGGTCCTCGTTATGAGCAGCTGTGCCTCTTCTTCTTTCCCCACCAGAGGCTGGGGATCGGACAGCTCATTGATTGGCCTGCAGCAGCACTTAGCACACGGCGCCTTGTGTGTGGTTGGTGCTCTACAAATAACTGGTGAAATGGAAATGAATGTGTAAAAATGAACTTGAGGGCCAATAAGTAAACCCACCTCCTATTTTCCCTTTTGTTCTGCCTGTAAAAAAAATTGATATCTGTGCTTAAGAGTCTGAGATTCCTTCCCTACTCCTTATTGTTTCAAGACAGATTTGTCACGGAAGCTCAGTGTGCACAGGGGTTTGGGGAAGTGTTGGCCAATGCCTGAACTATTTTTTACATAAAAGCGTGCAATTTTAAGATGTGACCTTCATTTACATGTAGATAAGCACAGAGGACCATGGTTTAATGGTTTACTGCGTTGGCCAGGATTTGCTCTAAAAGAATCATTTTTTTTAATTAATTTTTTTTTTTTTTGTAAAGGAAATTACTTTTGGCAAATGAATAAGAGAAAACATTTCCAGGGTATATTTTAGTATTCTTTTGCCATGAAAAACTCCAGGTTGTCTTGACAGCCTTCAGATTTCGTTAGCTTTCAGTTTACAAATACCTGTCAAGTGAAATCACATTATCCCAGGGCACAGCAATATCTAACTGTGGATGGCAGAGATACAGATGTCACATGTCCAAAGACTGTGCATTTCAGCTGTTACCTGTGGTTGAGAGATTATGGGAAATCAATGCAGAAGATTGGGCGGCATTCAGCTGATAAAATTGGGTCTTGAGTAAGATCTTAGGCTGCAGTTGATCCAATGCTTTCAGCTTCCTCATTTAAAATGTAAATGGCTGCTGTCCTTGATAAAATTCTCCCTGGAGAGCTAAAGTGCTCTGCGTAATTTAGAGCCACGATTTCAACACTGCATTACCAGAGTGTGTGCTAGACTGCTAGTCTGTCCAAGTAGAAGCCCCTCTGGATAACCCTTTCCTCTCCTGTGGGATCCAAAGTGGGGAGGGAAGAGGCAGACCCAGCAGGTAAGGCTCAGAGTTACCAACCCCAGTCCCACCCCTGTTCTTCCATTTGCCTCTCAACGCACTTTGAGTATTTTTATTGTCTTCATGCTTCCACGTAAGCGTTTGTATGAAGGAAGGGTTCTGAGGATGAAGACACTTTGAAAGAAATAGTTTGATCTAGATCAGCTCATTCGTTTTCCAGGTAAAGACGTAGCAAGCAGCCTGGAGAAGGTAAGACGCACAGCTCCCGGGGCGGGCACTGCAGTTCAATAGCAGTTAGAAACCCATCTCTTTGGGACGGTTTCCTAAGTGTCTATCTCACGGGGATCCAATGGGACAGACAGGGAAGCACCCTGCATAAAGGAGTGTGTGTTGAATGCATTAGGGAAATGTAAGGTATTGTCATTTTCTCTTTCCTACCATTGGAGCAATCGTGTAGGTTGTCAAACTCTGTTCCAGGGCACCCTCGGGGTCATTGCAGGAGGCTTAAGGACCTTCCTTCTTCAGATGAAGCCTCTTCCCTTTTGTCTGTTTTCCATGGCAGGCTTCCAGGCACAGTATCTTTTACAGATAGGGCTCTCTACCGTTAACAACATTTGAGAGAGAAGGATCTTTGCAAGCAAGAATAAGTCACTGTTTGTTTGAAATGCGTGTATGTTGAAATGACCAGGCACGGCATATTCTGAGTGGCTGACCCCTGGTTCAAGAAGATGACCGCCATAGATATGAGCCTCATGGGAGGACTGTCTGGAAACAAAGAGGCTGGCGAATGGCTGGCAAGACAACAGTCACCATGGAGACCTGTGAACTGCACTGAGACTTGGGGTGTCTTTGAAGTCCAGTATTCTTAAGGCCTTTTCTTTACTTATTCATTTGATCTGTCTGTAGCTGATGTGGTGGTTCAGTGTACTAGGTATAACAGTTAATGCAGATTTTTTCCCCCAAATGTTGATATATATGCGATTTGATATGTATGCTATTTAGTTGTATTGACAACAAGCTTCAAAACTTCATGTGTCAAAATTTCTGAAAGTGTTAACATAGATATTTTTACACTTAAAAATATAGAATTTTATGCCAAAAAAAAAAGAGCATTTGCAGGAAGTTTTAATTCATTACTTTATTTTGAAGAAAAGTACTGCTGAATACTTCGGGAAGCTTATGGTGAACATGTTCCATCTCAAGATACTTGTGAATGCTGGTTTAAACGCTTTAAAACTGATGATTTAGACATGAAAGACAAAGAACGTCCAGATCAACTGACAAAGTTTGAAGACCAACATTACAGGCATTATTGGATGAAGATGCATGTCAAACTCAAAAACAACTTGCAGAAAGATTAAACATCGTTCAGCAAACAATTTTCTATCATTTACAAGGAATGGGAAAGATTTTAAAGAAAGGAAAATGGGTGCCACATCAACTGAATGAAAGACAAATGGAAAATCGAAAAGTCATCAGTAAATGTTGCTTCAACAGTATGAAAGTCTTTTTTGCATCAAACTGTGGCTGGTGATGAAAAGTGGATTTATTTTGAGAATCCCAAATGCACAAAACCATGGGTTGATCCAGGTCAACTATCAACATTGACTGCAAGGCCAAATTGCTTCGGAAAGAAGACAATACTCTGCATTTGGTGGGATCAGGAAGGTGTATATTAGGAGCTTCTTAAACCAGGTGAAACCATTAATACTGATTGCTACTGACAACAAATAATCAATTTGAACTACTCTTTGATCATGAAAGGACCAGAATGTGCCAGAAGACACGGCAAAGTAATTTTACTTCATGATGACGCACCATCACACCCTTCAAAACCAGTTAGACTTGTTAAAAGATCTTGCCTGGCAAGTATTAACCCACCCACTGTATTCACCAGACCTTGCTCCTTCAGATGATCACTTGTTCCGATTGACGGCACACACACTTTCTGAGCAGCACTTCAAAACGTACGAAGAAGTGGAAAATTGGGTCTCTGAATAGTTTGTCTCAAAACAAGAAAGTTCTATTGGGACGGTATCCACAAATTACCTGAAAGAAGGGGAAATGTGCAGCTAGCGATGGATATTACTTTGAATAAAGCACTTTTATGTTTATCTTGAAATTATCGTGTTTTCTCTGATTACAAAATTCGTAATATTAACCAGTACACTTAGTAAGTGCCAAGATGAAAACAAGTGGTACCTGACGGCCGATGGCTCCTTTCTTTCCTGTCTTCATGTTCCAGTGTACTTACATTTCCATCGACCAAGTTCCCAGGACCCACGCCATTGTGATAAGCAGACCTGCCTGGCTTTGGGGGGCAGAAATGGGAGCCAATGATCATGGAGTGTGCATAGCCAACGAAGCGGTCAATGCCAGGGAACCGGCCGCCGAGACGGAAGCCTTGCTGGGGATGGATCTGGTCAGGTATGTGTGGTGAGGGGGTGGGCACAGGACTTACCTCCCTCCAAAGCTCATACTTTATAACACAACCCTCCCAAAGAATACATGTGCCATTTGATATAAACTTGGAGGTGATGGAAAGAAAAAAAATAGTTACGGTGGAACATTATTCAGCAATAAAAAATAATCAGGTACTGATATGTGCTGCAGCATAAGGAACCTCAAAAACATGATGCTAAGCGAGAAAAGCCAGATACAAGAGGTCACATATTGTATGTCACTATTTCTGTGAAATAGCCCGATAGGCAGATTCATGGAAACAGAGAGATTAGTCATTGCTCAGGGAGTGAGAGTGATTCCTAATGATATAGGGATTCTTTTTGGGGTGTTGAAAATGTTGTAAAGTTAGATTGTAGAGATAGATGCACAACTTTGTGAATATGACGACTGGTAAATACCACTAAACTGTACAGTGGATGAAGTTTATGGTATTTGAAGTATAGTTAAAATATATAAAAGGACAAGGAAACATATAAAATAGGAAAGATCCAAGGAGAAGAGGTCAGAGCTCACTTCTTTCCTTCCTCCTCTATGCTTCAGTCATCTTTCCTTTCTTCCCCTACTCTTCCAGCCACCACGTGGGACCCACAGGACAGGGGTCCTTGTCTGCTTGGCCACTACTGCGTCACAAGCACCAGGACCCGTGTGCCTGGTGCACAGTGGGTGAACAATGACGGAGTTAGGGATGAATGACTGAAGTAGGGGGTGGGCTGCAGTGAAACAACATTCTGAGAGGGCTTTCTTTTTTCTGAGCTAGTAAAATGCAGCAGAGCCTCAAACATAGTTGAAAGAAGATTAGGTCGGAGCCAGGGTTCAGGGTTTCTGGTGTCAATACACCAAGTTACAGCCCCTCTCTGGACTTTGGTTTCCTCTTTTGTCCAATGTGAGGCGTTAGATTGGGTGACTTCTGATGACCTCCCTCACCCCCCCCCCCCCCCCCCCCCCCGCACCTCCCAAAGCTAACATCCTGTAAAAAGGAGTATGGATTTTCACATTCTGTAGGGAGAAATTGCACATTTACACAGAGACCTCTGTGGCCCACAGCTTCTACCAAATGACGGATGGACCTGCTAGTGACATCCTTTTGGTAGCATGTGGCCTTTGTGCCTGCCTTGCCGGTCACCACTCTTCCTGATTCTGACAAACTCAGAGGAGAGGAAAAAATACCCTCCTTTTCTCTTAACAGAGTGAAATCATGGAGTAACAGGTTTTGAGGTTATGTTTGACAGCTGTCCCAATGTTTTTACCCATCACCCTTCATAGAAATCCTGCACGTGGAGAGTTGATGAAAAGTCTCCCCTCGTGTGCGCCATTGATCACCTTGCATTTGAGTTATCGTAGATTTATGGTATGGGACTTCCAGCACTGGCAAAGGTCAGCACTTTAACAGAAAGCCAACCTGCTGCAATCTTCTAATGGGTTCATTCTCTTATCACTCTCTTAGACTTAGGGTGCAGCTTCACAAATCATTGCCTTGGCACCATGTCTTCCTAAATAAGCTTAAATGGAGAAATGCCGAGTGAATGGATACATAATTTTCCAACTATGAAAATAAGCTTGCTACAAGAATAAATCCATAGCCTGTCACCCTTTCTTCTCCTTGGCTGCCCAATGAAATACATGTCCCTTCCTGGAGACTTGAGCTAGGTGAATTTCAATAATGATTGTGTCTCACACTGAACGTTCACCAAGAACTGGCCTGTGTTCCCTTTGTGGTCTTTCTAAGACCCTGTTCTGGCCACCAGGGTAGGGATTTGAATGAAGAGATGAATAAATGGATATTTACTGAGTACTTAGTATGTGCCTTCCTCTTTCCAGCCAGCTAGAGAGGGAAGTCGTACTGTTTTCACGTTACAGATGAGAAAGTCAGGTTCGGAAAGGCTCCGTTACTCAAGGTCATACTGCCGTGGGTAGCAGAACCAGAACTGAGCATGGGTCCCTTTATTTCTCAGTCAACTGTTTTCCGGCCATGGGTTTTCACAACTTACTGGTCACTTACTTGGTCCTGGACACTGTGCTATAGGTTTTCATGTCCATTATATCATAAAACCCTTCCTCCTAGCAGCCCAATGATATAAATCCTTTTTAAAAAAATATATATATATTTTATTGATTTTTTACAGAGAGGATTAGAGAGGGATAGAGAGTTAGAAACATCAATGAGCGAGAAACATCCATCAGCTGCCTCTTGCACACCCCTCCTGGGCATGTGCCCACAACCAAGGTATATGCACTTGACCGAAATTGAACCTGGGACCTTTCAGTCCGCAGGCCAACACTCTATCCACTGAGCCAAACCGGTTTCGGCTAGATTCTTATTTTATAGGTGACATACAACTGAAGTTCAAATAGATTATGCAACTTTCCCAAGGTCACATGGAGGGCAAGATCTGTGCCCTCTCTCAGGGGTCTATGAATAGCTGGGAGGAAATTGCTATTTGGCTTCAAGAGAAATATGTGCTTTTTGATAACTGAAGCTATAAGCCACCCCAGCAGAGATACACTGATAGGCAGGAGGTGAAATATGTAGAAAAGGATTGATTGCATCCGAACCAGCAGCCCTCCCCTACTGAGGTCTCTTGAGTCAGTTACATGCACCGAAGACAATGGCTGGCTATGGAATACTTTTATTACTAACCAAACTACCTGATGTAAAATAGTGGAGAACAAGGCTGGACAGGGCAGAGATTTCCTTTTGCCCAGAGGCAGGAGAGTAGAGGCAAGAGGGAGAATTAACCAACAGAAGGGGTCTGCTAAGAGCTAGAGCAGAGCCTGCCAGCTCCCTGGGAGACAGAGCTAGAAAAGAGAAGGGGAGGTGGCTGAGCCACTGGGGTCCTGGCTCTTCTGTCTGTGTGGGTGGGGGATGCCCAAAGACAGAAAACACCCCGATGATTTAGAACCAAATGTGTGAGAGCACTGTTCATTTGCCTGCACATTGGCCTGCGTATGAAACATATTTACATATGTTGGCACATTTCATAACTCAGCCTCGTCCCAATCTTTGGTTGCTATGGTAATGATCACATGGAACGAAATGTCTGAGCTGTACCTCTGGTTTCCTTCCTTCAGGCTTGGTTTAGAAAGAGGGTCAACAGCCAAGGAAGCCCTAGATGTCATCGTCGCCTTGTTGGAAGAACACGGGCAAGGTGGGAATTATTACGAAGATGCGGACTCCTGCCACAGCTTCCAGAGTGCTTATCTGATTGTGGATCGTGAGGAGGCCTGGGTGCTCGAGACTGTAGGAAAGTACTGGGCTGCCGAGAAGGTCACAGGTGAGCGGGTGTGGATAGCAAGAGCTTCCTGGGCAGAAAAAGGCTGGGGTGGATGTTGCCTGGGCTCACGGGACTCATGCTGCTGCTGTAGACCCTCTCTGTGCTGGCGTGAATCTTCTAGAGAGGAAGCCGGAGTCTTCTGAACCCGGAGGGAAGGAGGTCACCACTTGGGAAGCATCCTCCTAACATATTCTATTTTCTGTTTGCTTTCTGGGCAGGACCCCATTCAGACTACTAATGGTTTCATGATCCAAATTACGTCTCGATGAATTGGCCAAGGGAATAGTGATTTCCCCCCCGCTCCTCCCTATTCCATTCACAATAGGTCAATGAATTACTACAACAGGGAGTTGCCCCGATCACCCCAGCCCCATAGATCTTTGTGCTTGGAATGTTCCTCTAACAGAGGAATTTGGATTTGGCTGTGAACTGTTGAGTTCCTCTGGTGCAAAAAACCATATCGCTGGGAGACAATGTTTCTAGAACAACAGGAAACATCCAGAAGGACTTACTGCCCAATAAATTACTATTGCTTCCTGCGGCATCTTGTTCTAAAATAGTTCTGAGGAAGGAAATATTGTGTGTGAGTTGGAGGGTAAGGGGGAGGAAATGGCCGTCTTGTATCATTGCCTTAGCACCCTCAAATTCTGCACAGGATGGAATCTCATAGTGGGTTACAGGGCTTCCAGAGAACTAAAGAGTTATAAGAAAGGATTGGCCAGTGAAGCCCCTTATATTCCCGAGGCCTGGAACACAAATACAAATCACGCTCCCAGCATTTTTCCTCTCCCATGCCAGTGGAAGACATGGCTACAGAACTCTTCCCTTGTTGAACCTATACTTGGTCTATGTATTTTTCTTGACCGAATTTACCAGGAAGTCTCTTCCAGCTCCTCAGAAATGATGTCAGGGATGAAACCTGTTTGCCATCTCTGCCTGAAGGGTGACTGGAACCAAGCCCAAGCTGCCTTGAAGCAGAAGGTGTACTGGTTGAGGCAGTGAGGCAGGGAGAGCTAGCTGTGGTTGCTTGATGAAGCTGTTTAAAGGCTGTGTTTGCCTGGAGGAGGAGGCGATTTATTCTCATTCTCACAAGGGATTGCATCCCGAGGCGATCTCAGAGCATTTCTCCACCCACGGACACCCAAGTGTGCCTGCATGCCCTGCTTCCGCAGTACTTACAAAACTAATGTAGCTGGTGTGGCCTGTCAGCTCTCCAAGCCTCCTGCGCTGCAGGAACTTATGACTCGCTTAAAAAAATCTCTTCTAAAATGAAGTCTTAGCATTGAATAGTTCCATATAGAAGGCTGTTAGTCCATGTGGAAAAACAATCATATTGCTTTTAAGATATGTACTGGTAAAACTTTTATTTTTTATTTTTTATCACAATTGCATTCAAAAGCTTAGTCTCATTTCAAAGTACAACTTAAAAACCCATTTCATCAAAATGCATGTTCTCTCTCACTAAATATTTAAAGGGGAAAAACCCCAGCCATTCCTTGGATTCATTGATTTCATGTCCTCTGATTTCAGCAGTTGTGTGACCGCAGTAGGAATTAATGAACTCTGGCCCTCGTATGCTAAAATTCCTGAAAGCAAATGTCTATTATAATCAATTATCTAGGGAAATAGCATGGGGAGCTATTTGCAAGACTTAAAAATACCTTAGTGTGAATAATGTCAAAATCATGTAGGCCAAAGCTATTATTTATTTTCATTTAAAAAATAATTTTACACTTATGGTGACCTCTAAAAAGATGAACAGCAAAGGACATTGGCCAGGCATGCTCGCTTTGGAGGTGAAGCAGAAGATGCTCATGTTGATGAAGCAGAAGATGCTGAAGGAACTCAGCCCAGCCCTGACTCTGCCTCCAGGAGCTGGTTTTCAGGCAGTAATGGCTTCCGTGCGGCTTGCTGTCCTGGCTGTTTTCCTCTACTTCATTCTCCAAGAATTTAGGTTTGAAATGTGTTCCCTGGAAGAAGCCACCATGAATGACTGTTTTGACCTATAAGTAATAACTTCCTCCTGATCTGGACATCGTGTTGAAGCTTGAAGGTCAGGTTATCCTCAGTATATTTGTAGCCCAGGCTTTGAAGAAGCCATAGCCAGCCTCCCAGCACATAGGAGAACAGGTGCCCTAACCTACATTCTTCACAGTGGTGTCCTCAGAAAGCAGGCAGCTCTGATTCCAGATGCATCTAGCACTACTTATATTTTTATGAGAAAAAATTCCCATAGATTTTCCTCACATGTACATGTGACACAGGTACATGCTATTTCCAGGTACACTTTGTTAGCTTAACACTATGCATTATCAGTGCCACTCTGTTTTTCTAAATGTTGGGACCCGAACAAATAATTGAATGAAGAAGGATTATATATATATATATATATATATATATATATATATATATATATATATATATATATAGTAAATGCACACACATATGGATGGAAGGTGGTGGTGGAAGGTGTTCTTCAAGTAGGGCAACACTAAGTTGGGGAGGAAGATTCTTCATGGTTGCAATATTCACAAGTCTTGTTAGTCACTCAATGCTTCTTTCAAAGAACCTTTCACTTTTCTTGTAACTAGTAAATGCATGGGTTTATTTAGCCAGAAGGAGGGGCCTCACATGTTTCCTTTTGATTATAGATTTAAGATCTTGTGATTGTTGCTCATTTACAATGTGGTAATGACCTTCTGGGATATCTTCTCAGAAGAGGACCAATGACTGTCTGTTTCTCTCTTCAAAAACGGAATTTATTCCATCCCTGTAGTTAAAGTCAGGTTGCAGGGGAGAGATTCCCTATAAATTTCCATTTATTGATTACATCTCTATAAGTGTATTTCCAACTAACTGAGCCTTTCCCTCTCTGCAGAGGGCTTCAGGTGCATCTGCAATCAGCTCTCACTCACCACCAAGATTGATGCAGAACATCCTGAGCTCAGGAGTTATGCTCAGAGTCAAGGCTGGTGGACAGGAGAGGACAAATTCAATTTCTCTGAAGTTTTTTCTCCAGCTGATGACCATCAGCACTGCTGTGCAGGCAAAGACAGCTTAGCAAAGCAAGAAGGTGAGTTATTACATCCTTTATCTTTCTCCCTCAAACACCCTTTGTCTTATAGCTATTTTGGAGAACCTGTCTGAACTTAGGAGGGTGAGCAAAGAGGAGGAGTAGAGAATAGACCTTGTATGTACAGACCAACTTGTACTAAAGGTCCTGATGTTCAGATGGGATGACAACTTGCATTTATTCTTATAGGATGATTTCTTTTCTTTTAAAAAAAACATATTTTATTGATTTTTTTACAGAGAGGAAGGGAGAGGGATAGAGAGTTAGAAACATCAATGAGAGAGAATCATTGATCAGCTGCCTCTTGCACACCCCCTACTGGGGATGTGCCCACAACTAAGGTTCATGCCCCCTACTGGGGATGTGCCCACAACCAAGTCCTATTATAGAAAAGGGAAGGGCGTGACTGGACTCAAACCCGAGACCCTTCAGTCCGCAGGACGATGCTCTATCCACTGAGCCAAACCAGTTTCAACATATAAGATGATTTCTCATCCACAGAATTTTCCTGCTGCTGTTTAAACACTAATGTCACTGTGATACTTATTGCAGCCTTTCTTATACCTCAGCATTTGTAATATTTGACTTATCTCCTCCCTAATTTTCTCCTTTTATTAGCTGCTGGGCCTTGAGGTCAGGGGAGTTGTCTTTTACTCATCCTAGGACCCTCTTGTGATGCCTATTATAGCTCTTTGTTCTGTGAACATTTATGAAGTTAACTGTTGAATTGAATTTTCTTCCTGAGCCCTCTGTCTTACACCAAATTATTGACTTTAGTCAGAACCAATATTTAGGTAAATATGATGACTGGATAGCTTGTTACTTTGTGTCTGAGTGGAAGCTCTTCCAAATAAACTTCAAAGGCCACATTTCATATTTGCAGTGATTTGTGTTAAGTCAAACCTTTGATCATATAGAATAGGGGTCACCATACTATGCCTTGTCATCAGCCACCTATTTTGTAACTAAAATTTTATTGGAACTCAGCCATACCCATTTATTTATGGCTACTTCTGTGAGCAGTTGCAACAGGTAGGTTACAACAGAGATTATATGGCCCATAAGCCTAAAATACTTATCTGGTTCTTTGAGAAAAAGTCTGCTGACCCTTAAACCTAGAAGAATATTTAAAGACTTTTGTTGTAGAACTTGATGAATATATTCTGGGCAAGAAGATATGACCATATTTTAAAATGGGGAACTCTTGCCAAAACCGGTTTGGCTCAGTGGTAGAGCGTTGGTCTGCGGACTGAAAGGTCCCAGGTTCGATTTCGGTCAAGGGTATGTACCTGAGTTGCAGGCACATCTCCTGTAGAGGGTGTGCAGGAGGCAGCTGGTTTCTCTCTCATTGACGTTTCTAGCTCTCTATATCTCTCCCTTCCTCTCTGTAAAAAATCAATAAAACATATCTTTTTTTAAAAAATGGGGAACTCTTAAAAAAAAGCCTCTCAATTTTTTAATAAAAAAGCTAGCTTGATGGAAGCATACAATCCCATGTATGAAGTTGTTCTGGCAAAACATTATCTGATGAACCTCTAGATCTAGCTACTACTTTCTGGTAAATACAAAGAGTGGGCAGACATATTAAATAACACCACGGGGATATGTTCTGCAAAGTTCAGACTAGGATCCTATAGGAGACATGGTCCAACAAATAAAAAGTAAGGGAGAGAAGTGCAAGTCAGAGATGAAGAGATTTAAGAGTCATTATCAACTTATTGGATCCTGAGTCAGGTCAATAAACTCATGTATGAGACAGTGAGGAGATCTGAATACTGAGTAGTGGAAGAAATCGAGGACTTATTGTGAATATTTTGGGGAGTGATATGTTGTAAATAGAGACGTACAAGGAGGACGGGGTTGTGCTAGTGAACTTTAAGGCGTCTTCTCCCTAAGAGATGCTTTTATTCCATTTTTGTGAACAAAGACTGAAAAGATAGTGTTTTGATGAATTATAACCAGAGAAAGAAAAAGTCCTCGATTTCTTCCACTACTCAGTATTCAGATCTCCTCACTGTCTCATACATGAGTTTATTGACCTGACTCAGGATCCAATAAGTTGATTGACCTGACTCAGGATCCAAGAAAAAGTAGAAAGAATTCAAGGATTTGTTTCTTTATCTTCAGTCAGAGCCACCCATCGTAGTGACTTGGACTATTCTAAATATGTCTCTGTGCATATTTCCCACTGCAGAGGGCATTCTCCAAATATAGTACGGATTCCAACCAGTATGGGTGCATGAGAGAGCTTGCCCGGTGGACTGTACATAGATTGCACATACCTTCTAATGGGTATCATTTCCTGTGTTGTTGTGCTGGTTGAGGTATTTCTAAGTGCTATATCAAAGAGACCCTGATATAAATGTGCTTAAAGAAAATGGAAGTATATTTCTCTCCCATGGTATAGTCCAGAAGTCATGGACAGTCCAGGGCTGGTAGGTGTCTCTGCCTCAACACAGGACTTCCGTTTGGAATCTGCTCACTGGCCTCTCCCAGCCAGCAGGAAGGGAGAAAATGAAAAAGAAGGGCAAGCATTCCTTTTTAGGGATGTGACAAGGAAGTTGAGCACATCATCCCCACTTGTCTCCCATTGGTCAGGATTTAGCCCATGGCCACACCCAGCCACAAGGGAAGCTGGGAAACATGGTCTGTAGTGAGGCGGTTGTGTTCTCAGCTATACTGTCAGGAGTCCTATTACAGAAAAGGGAAGGGCGTGGACGGAGTTTGGTTAGCAGCCTGCCACAGTGATGTCTCCCCCACCGCTGTCTTTACAGAAAACATCACTGTGCAGACTATGATTGACATCTTACGGGACAAAGCCAGCGGCGTCTGCATAGACTCCGAGTTGTTCCTGACCACAGCCAGCGTGGTGTCTGTCCTGCCCCAGAGCAGAGGGTCCCCGTGCATCCACTACTTCACCGGGACCCCAGACCCCTCCAGGTTCGTCTGAGACACAGCTGTGTAAGCAGAAAGCACATGCCGCCCACGAAAGCTTATCCAACAAGCACACACCAAGTTCCTGCCCCTCCTTTTGCGTGATTGAGCCACATGAGTTAGTGGTTCTCAATGTGGCCGGGGCAGCAGAAAGAGCTTCGATTCAGGGGTGTTCCTGGCTTTAGACACATAGCATTCATCACAATCATGGCATCCAATGGTTTTAAATTCAGCAAATACATATTGATTATGTATCATGGGCCAGGCATGGTGCTGTCTGTGGGGCATGCAAAGCTAAACAAGACACAGTGAGGCAGAGAGATGGCAGGAATGCCCAAGACTTGTCACAACCACCACCAGTTCCTTGCAGTTAGAGGACAAAATGGCCCAGAGGCCAGGCTGAGGGGAGTGACTTCACTGGCACTGCCCAGGGCTTTTAGACACTGGATTTTAAGGGGTTGCTTTCTGCCCAGGAACTTCAGCGAAGGGGTGGAATTGCACAGTGGGTAAGAGCATCAGCCTTGAGAATAAACTGCCAGGATTTTGAGTTCCACCTCCGTCGATTAGGAGCTGGATCCGTCATGTAGCATCTCTGAGCTTCTGTTTCTGTATTGTACAACGGGGATCATACTAGTCCCTAATTTTGTGTGCTTGTTGGGCCTCATTTTTGAGATTTTATTTTTCAATTGCAGTTTATACCCAATATTAGATTGCATTAGTTTCAGGTGTGGGCCTCATGTTTTCAATTACAGCCAATATCAACAGAGACTTCTAGCAGGATTGGACTATTAAACTTGGTTTAAGGTATTCTTAGTTTTTCATTCACTCATTTATTCATTCAACAGGCATTTATTAAGCACCTACTGTGTACCACATAGTGTGCTTTTTGGAAACTAGAGACTAACTGTGTGCAGGGGAAGAGGTGACACAGAGACGACAAAGAGGAGCTCTTCACAGAGGAAGGGACTCTTGAGCGTTGGGCATTGTCAGAAGAATTGGAGTTTGTGAGGGACAAAGAGCAGGAATGACAGTCTGAGTAGAGGGAACAGCATGTGCGAAAGCATAGAGGCATGAGAACTTGTCTCCCAATGCTGGTGACTCAACAGCCCCTGTGAGCGCTCGCTGCTGCCCGTGAGGGTACACGTGGGCTTTGGGAGCGTCTGGATGCTCTGCTGAGGTATTGGACATTGTTCTTTAGGGAACAGGAGCCTTCGAAGAACTGAAGAATGACCGTGTCCCGCCCCCCCCCCCCCCCCCCCCCCCCCCCCCCGTGTCAGACGCCTGCTCTGACAGTGGCTAGAAGCCAGGCCGTGTGACGCCAGGACAGTAACATAAAGGGAGTCTGACTCCCCCGCTGAAGTGCTGGGCCTAATACAGTTAGAGAAACGGGCTGGGAAATAACCTTCAGGTATTTAAAATGGAAAATCTCAAGTAACTTTGAAAGCAAATTATTCATGAGTCCCATTAATTAAAAAGGCCTTAAAGAAGATGAAGAGCCTTCCGAAGGCATTCATTTTTGTCTCCCTCAGTTAGATGAGCTGTGTTTCCACGGCGACCGCAGGACAGTCATAGTTTCTTCCCTCGTCCACATTCTCACATTTCCCTGTAATGGGGCACGCTCCGCGTTCTGTATTTTGTCACAGGAAGCACAATGACCTCCTCTTGGGCTTTGAGGCACTAGCATGAGGGGCATTGGAGCTGCTTCTGTCAATGCTGAGAGCAGCAGAGAGGTGTGTGGGGGAGCAGTTTCAGGACAGCGCACTTGCAAAAGGTTCTGATCAAAGAGCAGGACTGTGGGATGCCTCCCTCCCAGTGAGTGTCCGAAACCGCAGGATACGCGCTGGCTGTGCTCCGTGTGCAGCGGCATTTCTCTGCCCTCTGCACACAGTATTAATTATAGATCCTCTTCTCAGAACACCTTGTTCTCACATTCTCTTTTCTCCCCTCCTTCCCTCCTTTATCTTCTCCCACCCGCCTCCTAGCAAGTACCAGGTACTGTGTAAGCCTGAGAGCTGGAAGGAGGTGCAGAGGTCAGAGTTCAAGCTAAGGGACATGCAGACGACCTTGAATTCAGTTATCGAAAAAGCACATTCCATTTTATCAATATTCTGTGTGTCAGCTGGTGCCTTAGTCGTTCATAGAGTGACACTGATGGGCTTTTGTGCTCCGGGTCTGACCTTTGGAAACCATTTCTGGTTGGAGGCCAGTACTTGTTCAAGCTCCATTGATGTGAAGAATCAGAGAGGGAAAGGGTAGAGGTTCCTTGGCATTTGGAGACTCTACAATTCGGTCCCGCAGTGTCTGGAGCCAGTGAGAGCCGATTATGTGCAGCCTTCCTGACTCTGTGTTCTGTGAGGCCACATCAGTAACTTGGAATGGCCACAGTGGGCGTATTTACACCACAGGAATTGGCAGACACCAGGAAGCGGGGCTTATTATTATTATTATTTTTTCAGAGAAGCAGTTGTCAACACCACTGAGAGGCCCCACAACTGGGAAAACAAACACTCCACACACAGGATGGATAAACCAAGAGGGGAAGATAATTTAAATACTTTCCGTTTTAGATATTAGAAGGCTATTTCCCAACCCATTTCCCTGATTGCATTAGGCCATGCACTTTGCCCAGGAAAGAGACAAGAGGGAGGAAGTTCTAGGAAAATAGGCTATTTGATGCACTTTAACTAGTGGCAAGGAGCTGGGGAGATGCAATGGACATGTTGTGTGAGTGTGTGTGTGTGTGTGTGTGTATGTCTATGTATATGTTGTCTGTGTGTGTATATCTGTGTGTGTGTGTATGTGTGGTTTCCTCCTTCTCCCAGTATAGTAGGCTTGAGGGGCTAAATTGGATCCTACTGAGACGTCTCATCTGGTTAATTCAGATATTAGGAACAAGGAGCCCCTCTTGTTATTGGAGTTAAGAGCAACTGGTTATTCTAGATTCTTCCCAGGTTCCAAGTTTATCAGATTCATCCCAGTGGGCCTGTGTGTGCCGGGCACCCCTCCTGGGATCTGCGGGGGCCTCTGAGGTGTGGGGTGAACTGGGCTGAGTTTCTGGGGGAGGGTTGGCCCCCTCAGTAAGAACAGAGTCAGGCTGAAGTCAGAAGCGTTGGCTGGCACTGACATTACAATTCTCAATCCCAAAGCACAGGGTATTTCATTTTTCTGCAGCGGCACAGGATGCTGTAACGGTGAGAGGTAGTGGGGAAAGCTGACCTTGGCTTTGGAAGCTTTAGCTCTCGGCCTGCCACTCATTAGGAATGTGTCTGGACAAAGCTCGGAGCTCCTATGAGCCTCAGTCACCTCGTCTGTGAGATGGGACCGAAGCTTTTGCCCTGCCTTGTTCATTGCTGTAACCTTAGTTCCTAGAACAGTGTTAGGTACTCAGTCAGCCGTCAGCATGTAGTTACTGAACGAGTGAAGGAAGGAAGGGAGGAGTGAATGAATGAATGAGCAGGGGTACCATTCATTATCAAATATGGTAATTTTGTTTTCCTTCTAAATGAGAGAAACACATTTTTTTTTTTTTTACACTGGCTTATTGCTTTCATCACAAAACTTAGGAGAAAAAAAGACAGATAAGGTGAAGATGTCCAGAAATGCACGCACATGTACACCTACACACACACACACACACACACACACACACAAACACACACACAGCGATTTCCCTAAAATCAGCCATGGGGCCAAAGAGCTGAATCAGAGCGTGTGTGCCTGGCCGCTCCTGTGCCAGAGCTCCGCACTCTCACAGGCAGACTCCGCTTTCCCTTCGCTGTCCTCTCCGGGTTCCCTGTGTGTCATCCACCTCAGTCTGTCCCCTCCCCGGACCGGCCAGAATTACTCCAAAAGCTTTCAAATAAGGTAGGAATTAAAAAAGAGAGAGAGGGAGAAGGAGTCTCTGAGCCTTTCTTCCCGGAGCCACTTCCCAGCAAGCCATTCGCGAAAGGCCACCCGCTCCCGTGAACAGAGGACCCTTCTACTTGCCTCGCCCCATGTCACGGAGAGGCGTCCACACAGGCTCCCTGAGCAGAGAAGGTCTTTCTAGACGTCTCCTCCCTGTGGACAGGAAAAACCACAGCCTGTAGGTGGCAGTGAACTTCACGGAAACCTTCACTAGACCCTGCAGTATGTCCCTATTGGCATGCGCCCACCTGCCACCCTCCACCTACCACCCACCACCCACCACCCTCCACCCTCCACCCTCCACCCTCCACCCACCATCTCCATCATCTCCCCTTTACCCACCACCCACCACCCACCATCTCCACCCCACCACCCACCATTCTTCACCCTCCAGCCCTGTGGGCTGGCTCCGGAAATGGCTGCTGAGTGAAAGCACCACCCGGCCTGGCTGAAGCCCTCTCCTCTCTCTCAGGTCCATCTTCAAGCCCTTCATCTTCGTGGACGATGTCAAACTTGTCCCCAAGGCACAGTCTCCCTGCTTCGGGGATGACGACCCGGCCAAAAGGGAGCCTCGGTTCCAGGAGAAGCCAGACCGCAGGCACGAGCTGTACAAGGCCCATGAGTGGGCCCGCGCCGTCCTCGCCAGCGGCCAGGTGAGCGGGCTGGGCCGGGGCCGGGCCGGGCCAGGGACAGTGGCGGGTCAGCGAGCACGGCCAGGAGAGCCGGGAACAACTCATCCCAACTCCTCTCCAGCCACTCCTCCCCACAATCCAGCTCCCAGGGCCCCTCCCGGGACGTGGGGTTCACTTTCCCATCAGGCCTCTGACAGAAACCAGAGCCCCTGCTTCTGTGTTATTCTGGAGCCCAGTGGGCTCAGCGGCTTCTCTGCCCCCCACCGTGCTTTGTACACTTTTGGGGACACAAGGTTGTGTGTGGTGGCATCACTTTAAAGATGTTTAAAAAGCTGGATTCTTCCCCAAAGTCCTGGAGTTGGATAGGGTCCCACAACAATGCGACTGTACCTAACGCCACTAAACAGTACGATGAGAAGGGCTCGGGTGGGATATACGTTTTATGACAATAAAATAAGATTCTCAAGTTTTCAGTTAAAAAGAAGTTAGTCTTTAAAGTGCAGATCCCCTGCCCCGCCCAAGGCTTTGGAACTGGAAGTTCTGAGACGTGAATTCAAACCCAGGCCGCTCCGGCCATCCCCAGCAGCCTGCTGGCACTCCTGTCAGCCCTGCTGTACTGGGTGGAGGGGCGGGGGAAGGACCAGGCATGTTAGCCAGGCCCCCTCACCCCCCAGAGCTCAGGGCACAGCTGGGAAGGAAGGGCCCCTTTAGGTGAACAGGGCACGTGTCCTGTGTGGGCCGGGTGAGCACAGGGGACCGCACAAAGGGACACAGAGGAGGCGACCCAGGTGGCAGCCCAGGGGGTTCTGACCGCCTCTCTGAGCAGGGCAGGCTCAGGAGTCCCAGAGCCTGTACCTCCAGGCCACCGGCTGTCTCACGTCTGTCCGGCTGCCCGCTGTCCCCGGAGTCTGCACTGCTGCTGCCTCTGCCAGCGGTGTTTTCCAGGCGGGGACAGTGACCCCTGGGGGGAAGCGCCCCTTTCCGTGCTCGGTTTTGTGGACCAGGCCGCAGGAGGCAGAGGCAGGAAGGACCGTGTGGGCTGAGCGTCTACCCCAAACTCCAGAGCTGAGACGAGTGAGGGGGGCAGGCTTTGAAATGTGGAAATGACCGCTGGTGTGTCTGGGGGTGGTGACAGCAGCGCCCCCTCGGGGACTTACTCTGCTCCTACGTCTCAGGCACTGGCGCCTGGAGCCCAGGGTCTAACGGGGACACAGGCCAGGAGACAGAGCTTCCTGGGACAGGGGAGCAGCCGGGCAGAGAAAGACCCTGCACTGGGAGCCCAGAAGAGAGGGGTGCAGCTGACCAGGCCCTGGGGTGACACGCTGGCCTGGGCGGTGGTTGGGGGGCGGGCGGGAGGGAGGCAGCCCATTCAGTCTGGCTGAGTAGAAGGGGCGTGGCTAGAGGCCAAGGAAGATCCTCGTGTGTGTCCCCCCGGCCTTCGAGGGTGCCACTCCGGATGTACCTGAAGCAGCGTAAGCCAGCAGGCCTGCCAAGCAGAGCAGTGACGTCCACGGTGGCATCTGAAGGATCCGTGTGGCAGTCATTTAGGGGGCATTGAATAGGGTCCCCCACCCCAGGAGGCTTTCAGTGTTCGTGGCAATGACCTCCCACCCCCTTGTGCTCCCCAGGAGCAGGGCCGCAGGCTGCGGAGGACCATGCTGGAGCTGGAGAGGCAGGGCCTGGAGGCCATGGAGGAGATCCTGGCCGGCCCCGCGCCCCCGGACCCCGCCGAGGTGGGGGACCTTTTCTATGACTGCGTGGACACGGAGATCAAGTTCTTTAAGTGAAGCGGGCGCGCCCTCCCCCTCGTATCCAGAGTTCCCCACCTACTAACTTACCAGCAGCACCGCGCTCTCCGCGGGAGGAAGGCCAGAGAGGCCCTGCGGCGGCCGGTGTCCCTTTTCCGAAGCCAGACCCGACGGACACCCCACTCCTGTTCCGCTGGAACCTCAGCACGTCCCCCTGCCACGTGGTCCCGTCCTCTGCTGTGTGACACGCACCCCGTGCGCCCGTTGTCCCCCGTGTGACTAACCGTGGATCTCCAGCAGCGGCTGTAGTGTTCCCGAGATCATGGGCACCGGCCTCTCGGGAGGATGTGCGCTCACCGGGCCCTGGAAGCTGGCGCCGGGCGGGCAGGCGGGAGGCTGCATCTCCTGGTCTTCCCGCTGAGATGCTCTCCCAGGCTCACAGGAGGCCCAGCGTCTGGCTGTGCCCTCTAGGGAGGAGCTCCCTGGCCTCCCTTCATGCCAGTGCGTGTCTGTCGTGCAGGAGTCTCCAGGTGTGTCTTCCAGGGACACGTCTGGAGGGAAGGCGAGCAGGGCTCCTGTCCAGTCCCAGCTCCGTCCTGCTTCCCGCCATCCTCACAAACCCGTCTTCTGTGCCCGAGCTGGTGAGCAGCGGCCTGCCAACTGCTTCCACCTGCGGAGGGCTGCGGCTGCTGAGCTGGGCCCGCCCACGGCCGCGAGGCAGAGGGGGCACACCTGCGGCTGCGGCACCCCCGGCAGGGGCTGCCAGAAGGCACGGGCTCACCGGCTCCGCAGCGCCCCCGCCCCTCGCTGTGCCTGGTGCAGAGTGATTCCGGCTGCTGACGGCACCTGGCTCAGGTGAATGACTAGCCAAGGGCCCCCTGGCACAGTTCTGGGACGCCAAGCTGCCAAGCTCTCGGTTAATGTGGGGAAGAAAGGGAGAAACTTCTGGCTGTTTCGCTGCTAGTTGAAGTGGCTGGAATCCGAGCAGCCACAACATTATCTCAGCAGAGACTTCAATCAGGCCGATTTGTTTCCGACGTCGTGTTTGCATGGAGGATCTGACTTCCCACCGGAGCCTGCGAGGAAGACCAGATGGGCCAGCGCTGGGAGCACAGGGCAAGAAGGCGACAGATGGATGGAGAGGCATTTGGCTGCGGAGGACCAGGCCAGCCCCGCCCTCCCTGCCCAGCCTGTTACACCCCACAGAGCTGTGGAGGGAGCAGCTGGCTTTCCCGGGCCTGGCCCCCCTCCCTCCCACCACACATGTCCCAGCAGCTGCCTTGAGACTGGTGGCTGATGCGGGCAGGTGGAGGTGGTGGGGGGCTTACCTCCAGCCACTGACGCTTTCAGCGGACAGAGATGGCCCGACCAGTGTGGCTCAGAGATTGAGCGTTGATCTATGAATCAGGAGGTCATGGTTTGATTCCCAGTCAGGGCACATGCCCGGTTGCAGGCTCGATCCCCAGTGCAAAGCATACAGGAGGCAACCGATGGATAATTCTCTCTTATCATTGATGTTTCTCTCTCTCTCTCTCTCTCTCTCTCTCTCTCTCTCTCTCTCTCTGTCTCTCTCTCTCTCCCCCTCCCTCCCTCTCTCCCTCCCTCTCCGAATAAATTTAAAAAAATAAAAAGGAAAGGGGTGGAGACAGCTCATGGAGAATAGCAGCTAATTGCTCCTACTGACTCTCCAGAAGCAACCTGTCAGGCCACGAGTGCTGGGAGGGACACGGGTCCCCTATGCAGACGTGGCCCGAGGGTCACAGGTTTCGTCGGAACAAACCTTTTTTCCTACCAGCTGCCCTTGCAGAACACCATGAGCTCTTTGCCCGGCAGGTCTGTGGGAAAATGACTGACTGCAGGCAGGGACAGGGAGAAAGACTGCAGGGCTGGCAAACTGAGCAGCAGCCGTGCATGGTGGCTTGTGGTCCCCGAGGCCTCCGCCCAGGTTCGGGCCTTCACTGCAGATTCCCTTAGGGTGGGGCTCCAGAACAACGGAGGTGCCTCGTTCCCCCCTAAGCTCACCTACAGAGTGGTTCTTCAAAACACTGAGTTTCACCCCGAGGTCTCACCTCCACCTGTTCTGGAAACATCGCATCAGACCTGTGATGCTCAGGGCAATCCAGGGTTTTACCCGAAGGAGTCTAGTGAGAATAAAGGACTCAGAGGCCTGCTTTCATTCTTATGGGCCAAAGGTCACGGGAGACCCAGCCAGCCTTATGTCACTGCCCAGCCCTGGTGCAGTGGGAAACACCATGGGTGCTTCTGGGAGGGGGCATTGACCTTAGCCGGGCACTTCAGAGAAGCGCCAACCCTGAAGGAGAGTAGTAGTCTGGGCTCACACTGGACATCACAATTGTGATGTCCCTGGGTGACCACTAGAGGGCGAGGCAGCCGGTCAACCGGGCTGGGATGCTTCCCTGGGGCCCGGAGGTGGTCTGTGTACAGTCTGACCCAGCACTAGCAGTGGGCAGAGTCCTCGCACAGTGGGCATCGCAGGGAAGGGCAAGGAGAGAGCCAACAACCTGCCGAAGTGCCCATGTCACTTCCAGAGACTTCTATTCCTGTAGATGAGCAGCCGGAAATATGTTGCTGGGTTTTGAGCAGGCTGTTGCTAGGGGCACTGCTTTTTCTTTAAACGCTCCACACTGACCATGCTTTTGAAAAATGCATATGAATACGTGGATAAATCCTTGACTGGGGGATTGCTTTCCTAATGGCAACTGTAAAATCATGTTTAAGGGTCAGAGTGTAAATAGCTTCCTAAAACACCATCTGCGCATCCATTCACCCTCGGGGTGGGGGTGCTTTGCAGATGGAAGACGTGGCCGCAAGGATAGCACCTTCCCGCTCTCACCCCACAGCCAAGCACCAGTCCGTCTTGTGGAGTAGAGGGATTTGCCATAGAGGAAGGCACCATGGCACCCAGAGGGAGGGGCTGCTGAGCCTCCAGGAAGGAACATGAACAAAGCAGAAGCAGTTGGAACTCCAGGTAGAATAAGGACAGACTTGAAATGATGGCGATTCTTGAGTGCCCAGTAACCTAAGGCACAGTGTTATCGCTAGAGTCTGCCTGACAAGCTAGCGGAGCAGGGCTGTGCCTGTTCGATGTAGCAGCCGGCTCCTTCACTCCTGCGTGTCTCAGTAGGTATAATGACTAACCCCACAAACTACTTTGCTCCCTAACTGATGTCACCCCACATTGCGGCTGGCCCAGCAGGAAGCCAGGGGGGACCGGAGTGTGTGTTCTGGAGCCACTAGCTGCACTCTCCCCTGAGGAGCTGAAGAGGCATTCTTGAGGAAGGTGTTCCGCTGAGCCCTCAGCGTCAGGAGGAGGGATCCCCCTCGCTGGCCATTCCATCCTGTCTGAGGGGAGAGAAGTGGGGTCCCAGGCACACGCTGTCCCAGAATACTTTGTGCTTTGGGCACTTCACCCCACAGGCCCTGCATCCCAGCTCCACTCCTGTGGTTTGTGTCGACCACCCCGAACCGTCACGTGCAGGTGTCTCGTGGGCATGAATGCGCGCACAGTTGCGATCATGTTGTGAGGAGCTCAGTGTGTGAGCTGGACAGTGCTGTGGGCAGGGAGCACCGAAAGGGAGAATCTTTGTTTCCTGCAGTGGGAACGGACCGTCGCGTCTTAACAGCCTTTTGTACAAATATCCACAAACCAGACAACTTCCCCACCCAGTGCTTGCCCTTGGAATTGTCCCTAAATACATCCAGCATACAATAATGATAATAAAAAACCTGAAACGAATGTCTGGTGGCCTTTCCTACCTTGTGTCTCGTGAATAAATATGGGGGTCAGGGTTGCCCGGGGGGATTGCATCAGAGCCATCACCACTATGTGCTCATGTACATATTGATGTCTCCACTTTACAGGCGAGGAAACTGAGGCACAGACTGGTGAAGGAAGTCACTTTCCTAAACGTGTAAGGGGCAGAACAGAGGTTCAGATGTTTGCCCCCGAACCAGCGCCCCAGTGGGTAAACCTCCTCTCCCTTGTCCATGTTTCGGAGTTCACTGAAAATACTGGCATGGCGGTTGGGCGATATTACTGCTACATACGGGAGGTCTTTGCTACGTTGGGGGGTGCTAAGTGTACCGTAGGTTGAAAGTTGTTCCTTTTAAACAAAAGTTAAAGGAATTCTCTACATATACTCCACTTAAACACACTCACACACACACATTTTAAATGTTTTTATTGATTTCAGAGAGAGAGATAGAAACATCCATGATGAGAATCATTGATCGGCCGTCTCCTGCATGTCCCACACTGGGGATGGAGCCCACAACTCTCCCACGTGCCCTGACCAGGAATCGAACTGCGACCTCCTGGTTCATACGTTGACACTCAACCACTGGGCCATGTGACCGGGCTACCCAGATCAATAAAACGGAAAAAAAATATGCATTTAAGAAAGTGTTTCCCTTGGTTGGTTTCTCCAAATACACATTCAGCTAGCTTACAAACACCAGGGGAACGTTAGACGGAACTGTGACTGTGGCTTAGTTGGGAATGCCAGCTCAGTACAGAAAGGCCTGGTTCTAACAGGACGTTCTCGCCGCCGTGCGGGGGCCAGCCTGAGTCCTGCTGGAAGCCCTCCTGACCCTGAGCTTGTCCTGGCCACCACGCTAGGTTCCACAGGGAGACGGCCGGAAGCATGTCTGTTCATCAGTGTGTCAGGTACAGAGAAGTAACCTTCAGCGGTGTTTATGTTTATGTGTATAAATATAAAACGCGTGGGAAACGCTGGGGAGCGCAGACACAGGCCTGCTGTGGGAGTCTCCTCCGAGGATAGGGGACCACTGTGATCGGTTGTCTGGGGGTTAGCCTCTGGCCTGCGAGTCCGAGGGGCCCGGATGCAGTGATCGGTCTCGAGCTGCGATGCGACGCCGATTCCAGATCCCCCGCTAATTGCGACGTGTGGTTTCTGCTCTTCCTTCTGTCCGTCCTCGAATAGTTTTATTTTTCATTTCTAGCCCAGCAGCGTGGGCCAAGCACATATAAACACCTCTCGGGGCAGGCGGTGCCCCGTAGCAGGTACCTTTGTCTAGGGCCTTCTTCATCAACCACGATATTAAATCCTCTGAAATCATGTTGTACGACTGGAAGGGAGGTGGTGTGGCTACTGTCGTAATAAAGCGGTTCTGATCTTCCGGGAAACCTTCCAGAACATCTGAAGCCCAGCCGCTATGCTCGGAGCCGGTGACCTGGAAAACGCCTTTTCCACTGATGTCTGTCACAGTGTGGCTGGAGTTAGTCCCCGGGGAGGAGGAAGCACAACGGGGGAGGGAGGCATCCTGGGGACTCCAGACCGCCGCTCCCTGCGGGCGGTCACCTGCCAGCAGCACCGCCTCTCCGGCCGCCTTTTCGGGTGGCGTGGTCGGGGCACGGTCCCCTCGGGGTGGGAGCCCAGGCAAGGCTGGCTCAGAGGGAACACTTTCACCGCCTGGCAGCCTCTCCTTCCCCGTTTCCTTTCCTCTGCGGCTACTTTGATAACAGACCAGAGATGATCAGCCTGTTTCCTTCCATTTTCTCCCCTTCCTCTGTCACCGAGGTCTCTCCAAGGACCGGGAGCACTGGGGGTCAGGCGGCAAGTGTACACACACACTCCATTCCCTCGCCAGCTCGAGGCCAAGGGTGTGAGCAGCGGTGGGAGCCCGCCCTGGCCTGCTCCCTATCCGGGGGTGGCTGCCCCCACAGAGAGGTGCCTGCTGCCAGATCGCCAGATCTCAGACCAGGTCTGTTCTTTAGCTTTCAGCTTAGAGGGAGCTAGGTTTTGCCTGCGGGGCTGTCCTAGGGCTGGGGGTGGGGGACCAGCTATTGGAGGCAGATATTTATATAATGCATTAGGCCCACACTTCTTGCCATAGAGATCCTGCACTTGGGAGAGAAAGTGAAGACCACCGAGATAGGATTAGAAATTTACTCTAAAAACGAGTGTGGTGCAGGTTTCTCACCCGCAGGGAAAATACCCAAACTCCTAAAGCTCACGCCGCCTCGGCCTGGCCGCCAGGGAGGGGCTGGGGCTTGGAGGGGACTTGGGCGCGAGGGGCACTGTAAACAGAGCGTTGGCTACTTGTAGGAACATTCGTTTACAAAAGGGGCCGAGCCCACGCCTGCCTGGATGTTGCATTCTATTTACATTCCGCAGAAAAAGAAAAAAAAATCCCTGTACTGCACGACGGAGCGAGACACGGCGTCCCGTCCGCTGGAGGCGTCGTCTGGGCGAGGGGACGCTTGGGGCTCTGTGCGTGTCCTGTCTAAGGCATTGTCTGGTTTGACTCTGCGGTCTGTGTGCTGAGGATAGAAAATCATGCCCATCAGAAGCCACCGTGGGTGCCATGATTGTGGGGCAAATCAAGGAATCTTCTAAACACAGGTCCGTGCGGGCGGGGCTGGCCTGCACGATGCTCACGTCTCAGGACACACACGGCGGGGTGGGGCTGGGCTGGGCTCCATCTGCACCAGCAGGCGGATGCCGAGATGCATTTTGAAAAAAACGGAGAAACGGGGAGAGTGGCTTCTTTAAAAAAAAAAAAATGAAAGTCGAATAAGATACCGATGTAAAGCCTGTGCAAACCACGTATTTACAATAAATAAAGGCTCCGTGTGGAGCCTGAATGTCAACTGCATTGCAACTGGAGTTCGGTGAGATCAGACACGGCCTCCTGGGCCGCCCGTCCGCCGTGCGGAGCCCCGGGGGCTCTCAGGACGCTGGCTTCCTCGGTCTTCTCACCGGAGCGTCTTCAGAGCTAACTGTGGAAACACGAGAGCATGGCCCGGGGGGGTTAGAAGACTCTGCACAAAGGTGACACCCTCCCCGCTCCCCCCAGGGCCGGGCACTGAAGCTCTCGCCCCCTGCCAGGCTGCCAGGGCCTGACGCCCCCTCATACGCAAGGAGCTGATTTTTCCTGGGGGCCGTGGTGGAAAAGGGGTGAAATGGGACATGTAGTTCCTGACAGGTGGGGGCCTAATGCCACTGTATAAACATGTATAGGATCAAGCATTCTCCAGCTCCTTTTCTGTTTCCCACAGCCTGGCTTTAGTGAGAAATTTCAAACAAAAGTGCTCAATAAAGAGCGTTAAAAAAACATTATAATATTGATGGGTGAAGAACCCTCCCTCCCCCCAGGGTAAGAAACCATGTGTTCTAGGTATGACAGAGAACATGGAATTGTGTTTATAAACGTTACTGCACTCTCTCAGGCTTCTCGAGCGGACACAGGAGGGCAGAGTGCATGGGGAGTGGACAGCGTGACTGCAGGACGAGCCCACAGGGGTTCTGTGGTGGCGATTCCAGGAACCACCCCCACCCGCACTCTTTAGGTTTTGAGGTTCACAGTGTCACCCCGTGGCTCTCCCGGAGGAAAGAGGTGAAGCCGTTAGGAGAAGTCATACCCGCACCGTCTCCGAGGGCCCGAGGGATGCGTTACCTGAGAGTTTCTGCCTTTGATGTCATCGGAGCTCTGCCCAGCAGCCTCAGCGTGGAGCCAGGGACCAGGTGTACGGCCTGAAAGGCACAGGGGCAATCTCACCATCTGCTGGCGCAGGGCCTGGCCGTGCACGGCACAGACACCCAGGCTAGACCGGTGCTCACGGCGCTGACAGCAGCCGGCCCACCTGAGACCTGCAGGGGCTGGCCCCGGGCTGCGTGTCCACGGGCCACGTCCAGCATGTGGGGTGGGGGTGGAATGGGGGGGGACAAGCCACGGAGACCTGTCATCACAGTGTCTACACGGAAAGCATTTTAGCTCAGACACCCGCCAGCCCAGCACCCGAACGTGCCACACACAGCGCTGGCCTTGCTTTAAAAAAGAGCCAAAGGTAAGTATAGTCTGACAGTCACCCTCTGTCTCACCAGGACCCTTCTCTGAAATGCATTATGCTGAAATATTACACAAGTTATAGACTGAGTGGCCAGATGATTATGTGTTCAGAGATCGTAATAATCTAGCCACTCAGTGTATATAACTGTATTTTCATAATAGAGAATCCAAATACAGAAGAACAGAGCAGGGAAAGAAAACCAACCTGAAGTGGCCCTCTCTGCCTACTCCTCCACCCAAGCTCAATTTCCCATCCCAGAGTCACCGCTAGTTCGGTGTTTATTCCTCCAGATACTTTTCCACTTGGGATTTACCATGTAGGTATATGTACATATATGCATATATGTGGTCTCACTGGTCCAGCTGAGTTTTACTTATTTATTTTTATACACTTTTATTGCTAGCTGAGTTTTAAATCCACCTTCCCCGACGTCCTGTGAGGGCTTCTCCTGAGTCAGATGTTCCGAATGGTGGCCCTGCTGTCACCGGGGGAGACCATCAGCCTCAGCTGGATGTTGGAATCGACGGGCAGCTTTTGAAATGGCCAACACCCTGGCCCTACCTACGAATTCTAACTTGGTTGGTCTAGTGCAGCCTGGCCTTTATGGTTTTTAAGTTCTCTAGGTCATTCTACTGTGCAGCCAAGGTTGAGGACCGTTGGCCTGAGGACACTCTCGTTTCACTGTCTGCCAGAAAGGGGGCTTTTAGGGTTCTTCCAGGCTACTGATGCAAAGTGCCTGCATCCCATTTTCCTTGGGGTGTTTAGCTCCCTAGTCAAAAGCCCCAGAGAAGGGAGGGATGAGTGGTGAATTCACCCAAATATGATTAAACGATTAACTCTGGTACTGTGTGAAGGCCTCTAAGGGAAGGCTTGGGGACTGGGGCTGATCCGTGTTCTGGAACTTCAGCTGTGTGGACGGCACTGTATCACTATCCAGCACGGGGAGGCAGAGCTTGGAAATCTCCGAGAGGCAGCCTGTACCCAGTGGACACACGCCAAGCACCGAGTGCTGGAGAGTCCGGGAGAACGGGGGCCCTGGCATGGTGAAGGCGGTACTTACTCCTGGGGATCTTGCTGGGGTAGACCTTCTGGCAGGGCTTATACTCATCTGGAGGCGGGAAGTCTTCCACGGAATGGAACGTGAATTTAGACTCGAAGTCATCTGCACACGGGGGAAAGGGCACAGTTACTCGGTTCCTCTGAGGACCCCAGTTGGGGGATTTCCCAGGGCTCACAGGTTGGCCTGCCCAGGGCTAGGGTGTCAATGGCGGGGCTGTACCCCCAGACCACCATCCCCTTCCCCATTTTTACTGTTTCGCTGGGACAAGGGGAATCAGGAAAAATTAAATCGACAGACCTCCCCAACACCCACCCTAATGTACGCCCACAGCTTCTTAAGGAAGCTGCTAAAGGGAGCGGAAGAGCCACAGGGACCGCAGAGTCCCCATGGCCTGAGCCCCCTGAGCTCCCGGGAGGGCTTAGGTGGGAAGGAGTGGGCCTGGCTAGTGAGGTGGAGCAGGGCCTGTGTCCCTGTGGACTGACCTGGGTCCCCGAAGCAAGTGGGCCTTGTCAGTGGTTGAGGCTCTGATTTATGATCCGGGCTTTCTGTCTGACAGTAGCTCAACCCACAAAGGGATCCAGAGATTTTTGGTCACATTGATCCATGTGACTTTCCTTCCTATCTCCATATTTTTGCCCTAATTGTCCCCCTGCCTGCCGGGCCTTCTGTCCATTCATTCGCCTCATCCAAATCACTCTATCCGGTCAGCCCTATGCATGAGTTTCTCCACGGAGACAGACCCGGCTTTCATGTATGTTTCCTTCCCTCTCTTTAAACCCAGTCAGAGAGTGAAGAGTGGGTTCTGGAACCCTCCAGAAAGCCTCAAGGGAAACCCTGTATGTAACCCAACCACGCTGCAGTGAGCACCCTGTTCTTGCAAAGCACGCCCCCTGGTGGGCGGGCTTCCTCCTGGGACTGGGAACCAACCCCCCCTCCCACCCCGCTCCCTGGCAGCCAGAGCGGCAGCCCCCGGCCCCGCTTACCGATGATGTGCAGGCCTCCGTTCCACAGCTGGCCTCCCGGCTGTGGGGTCGGGGCCCAGCCTGGGGCCTGCTGGCTCCTGCTGGAAAGCTCCGTGGTGGGGGATCTCGCAGGGGGTGCTGGGGGTGGGTTCAGCCTTCCCCCACTGGTACCTGCCAGGGAAGATGATGGGTGTATTCAGACACTAAAGTGCATGGGGACAGCCGCTGCTGTGACCTGTTGCGAGGGGAAAGCTATGGAGACCTTCGGATGTAAGGTGATAGAGTGAGGAGAAAGGCCGCTGCTGGAGCCAACCTGCTTGGATCAAATCCCAGTTCTCCCACTGGAATGATAACATAACCTCTTTGTGCCTCAGTTTTCTCCTCTGTCCAATGGGAATGATAATAGCACACACACAGCTGCTAGAGTTGTTGACTGAAGGAAGTCGCGTGTAGTAAGGGTCAATAAATGTTAGCTGCTGCAATAACCTTAATGACAATGACCATCCTCATCACCAGATGGCACAGTCCCCCAAAAAGGAACCGCTGCTATAAAAGTATTTCCTGTAATATTCACAATAACCAAAAAATGGAATCAACTTTAATATCTAACACTAAAAATATAGTACATACTGATTGTCCTATTGATATGCTTATAAATAAGTTTTAAAGATTTGACAAATTGCTTTTAAAATAATAGATAAAACAGAATAGAAAAAAAGTATATATAAAATGGTATTAACTATGAAAATACACAGGTACATTCAGAAAAAAAAGAAATAAAACACATCCAAATACGACTTTTTATTTCTGGGTGATGTTATTACAGGTGAGATAAATGTCTTCCTATTTGCTCTACCGTGAGCTTGTGTTATTTTTAATGCGAATAAACGCATTTAAGAAACTACACATCAAAGAACTTTTTTGGAATATGTGCATACGTGTCGATGTGTGTTGGGTGCATGTGTAAATATAAAGTTGGGGTATTTATGAGTGTGTTTGCATGTGTGTGCTTCCCATTCAGACAGACACTAAGAGTGACCGAAGCCGTTCCACTGCACGAACATCAGTCATGGGGCAGGTGAGTATGCTCAGTCCTAATCACCACCCCTGGGGAGCTAAAGGAATTCCTTTTAATATCTGGCTGAAATATGGACCCCTCATTTCCTTGAGTCAACAGGAGAACCTGCCTAAAAAACAATAACAAAAAGAGACAGAACACTGATCTGGAGGGCCTGGAACGTGCTGGCTGGGAGCCAGGATGAAATAACTCAGGAAATTTTGAACAGGAAGCTGGTTCTGAAGCAAACACACCAAACCCCCGCTAGATCTCACTGCTGTCGGGCCTGTTCCAACAACCGCCTGAGGGGGCGCTGTGCTATTCCCCCTTCCCAGGGGCGAAGGGAGCTCTGGGAGGCTGTGATGGTCAGGGACACACAGCTAGGAAAGGCAAGGGGATCTGGGTCAGGCTCCCTGTCTGTGACCTCCATCACCTTGGACAGGTCTCCCAGCCCCCCTCAGCCTTGGTTTCCTGCCTCTCCCAGGAACACCCCAGCTCAAGTCCCACAGCCAGGCTTCATTACTCCCCCCGGGGGCACTGAATAGGTCTGTTCCCAACCCAAATCCCAGCGTAAGACATCGCAAGGTCGTCCCAAGCGGCTCACAGGAGCAGGTCTCTGGCGGTGGCCCTGGTACCTCCCCGATGGCCAGCAACGCCTGGTGACCCTCCCATCTGGCCACCCTGGACCTGGACAGGACAGTGGGTGGTGCTCACCTGGGCCTCGGCCTGGCCTCTTCTTCTGCAGGAAGGGCTGCCCAGGCGGGGCGGGTGGGGCGGGCAAGGCCTGCACGCTGGGCTTTGGGGGCTGCGCCTGGAAGCCGGGGGACTTGGGGGGCAGTGGGGGTGGGGCTTCGCTGCTGTTGTTAGGGCCTGGCACAGGGGGTGATGATGGCACCAAGGACCTCGGGGTGCAGGTGGCGTAAATGGGGAGAGGTGGTGGGGGCGGGGGCGGCGGGGGCGGGGGCGGGACGGGAGGCTCCCGGGCATCTTGGGTGGGGCTGGCAGCATCTGCATGGAGCCCCGGGTGTCCGCAGGGCGGGAGGAGAGGCAGCGGGGGTGGGACGGGCGGTAAGTGCAAGGGGGCTAGCTGCGGCTTCACTGTCCTGTCACTGAGGATGGGGGTCTGGGGGAGAGGGGGTGGCGTTGGGGGAGGTGGTGGGGGCGGAGGGGGAGGCGGAGGGGGGGCAGAGGGCGGTGCAGAGGGCAGGGCGGGTGCAGCTGCCAGGGCATTCCCTTTGGTCTGTGAGCCAGGTGGGGACACCAGCGGAGCTCTGATGGGGGAAGAAGGGGGCAGGGGTGGGGGCAGCGGCGGGGGTGGTGGGGGCAGGGTGGGAGGGGGTGGGGCAGGCACGCTGGGGCGAGCAGGGGCCGCCCTGGCCTCGGAGGCAGTGCCTAGCCTGGGAGACGCAGGGGCGGTGAGTGGCCCGCCGATGGTTTTGGTGGGAAGCCGGGGAGAAGGCGCTCGGGAGCCAGGGGCCTGCCCTGTCTTGCCGCCTGGAAGGGAAACAAGTTCAGAGTTAGCTCAGGGACAGAGGGAAGGGAAAGCCCGGGTGTGCGGGCGGCGATGCCCAGGGCTCTCAGGCAGGATGTCGGCGAATCGCATTCTCCCTGCAAGTCCACCGAGAGGCCTCAGGGGCGGCAGCCATCACCCAAGAGGGCAGCCGGCCAGCCGCAGGGTCCTTGCCAGCATCGCCGTGCTGTCCTCCTCGGAGAGGGGCCCAGCTCAGCACCAGCCTTCCTGCTGCTTCCACCAGGCCCGCACCTGCCAGGGCCTCCGGCCTTCCTCTCCTCACGGTCACCTCACACTCAGTCACACTTGCTCATTGGGTCCATCGGCCCATAGGTCCTTGTGTGGGCCCTCGGGTGACAACCAGACTCTCCTGGTGAGGGGGGTGTTCCTCACTCCCTGAGTTCGTGAACAAGGATTTGGCATCGAGAGCAGAAGCTTCCTGCTTCCCGGAACATAATAAGGTTAAGTCCAAAGCCCGCAGGAAGATCCAGGCCCTTGGGGATCCGGGTCCAACGACTTTGAACTTCACCCCAGGAGCCTCCACCACATCGGCCCCAACGAGAAGCCCAGAGCCTCATGGATCTGACCACATGTGGCCTGCAGTCAGCACCTGCAGTCAGCTCTGCGTCACAATGTGAGTTCTGTCCCTCTGTCCCTGTTTGCTCTGCAGAAGTTTTGTCGTCACCGATGCTTCCATTTAGGAGGCATTAAAAGTATTTCTTCCCAACAAATACAGAGCTCTCACTAAGAGGAATTCTGGGGAATGCCTTTCCCCCCGTTTCAGCACCCTTCTGTTTTATAATCCCCAAGAAAACATGTGGCCGGTGTGGCTCAGTGGATAGAGCGTCGGCCGCAGACTGAAGGGTCCCAGGTTCGATTCTGGTCAAGAGCATATGCCTTGGTTGCGGGCTCGATCTCCCCCCACACTCCCTCCAGTAGGGGATGTGCAGGAGGCAGCCAGTCAACGATTCTTTCTCATCATTGATAGTTCTTTCTCTTTGCCTCTCTAAAATTAAAAAAAAAAAAGAAAAAAAAAAGAAAAAAAAAAAAAGAAAAAAAAAAAAAAAAGAAAAAAAAGAAAAAGAAAAGAAAGAAAACCTGTGGAAAGACCTTGAAAACATGCATGCTCCCACACCTCCAACTTCCTGGGGCTGCGGAATCAGAAACATAGCTTTCACATCAGATTCCTACCCCAGCCTCTGCAGGTGGGTCTGAGTCTGTCAGTCGACAAGTCTCCATGTGTTTTTTCCAACCAGGGGCTGAACACGATGGGAGGGAAGCTCAGTGGCCAACCCAAACTTTCTAAGTGGCTGAGCACACCACGTCTTCACGTTTCAAAACCCTGTAAAGCGAGCCCGTTCCAAGGACTACGCAGCCAGACAAAAGGGACACGGGCAAGCCCGTTTTTATCGCAGCCCGAGGAACAGGAGCGAGGGGGGCACTGATCCTCCCTCGGCTTGCATGCATGCCCACTCTGGGATCACGCTCAGAGCTGGCAGCGTGCATGCGAGGTGAGCCCGACGGGGGCGAGAGGAGCTGACGGCGTGAGTGCAGGCGACGAAAGCAGCCAGGCCCCGGGCCAGCGGAGCGCTCGGCACATTGTGCCACGGGAAGGGAGGGGGAGACTTTCCAACGCAGCAGAAGCGCTGGCCCCAGAAGCCCAAACCCAAACACAGGAGACCACGAGGCGGCGGGGAAGGGCCAGCTGGAGTGCCCTCAGGAGGCTGCGCTGAGAGGAGAGGACTTAGCGGCCAGAGCCCGGGGGTTATCGGAAGGTGAAGTCAGTCATCTTTCAACGCGCACGTGTTTCCAAAGAACCTGGCCGGCACCAGGTCTCATTACACACTGGACTTTAAGAGAAATGAACATGTTTTCACGGGCCCCTGAAAGTACTGCAAGCACTCGATACTGTGCTCTCTGGTCCAATATCTGACCATGCTGGCTCCGAGCAACCATGCTGCCCACTCACACAGTTCGTTCAACAGATATTTACTGGGCACCCACCACGTGCCAGGCGTCTTTAAGGCAGCGAACAGCTCACAGTTCCTGCCTTCATAGAGAACACATTTAGAGAGAGAAGACACAAAATAAACCAGTAAATGTGTAATGTGTCCCATGGTGGTAAGTAATACAAGAAAAATAAGTCAAAATAGAGGAGCTACAGAATGACAGGGTGGGACGAATTTTACAGGGATGATGAGTGACGCCCCACTGACAGGCTGATCAGACGCCACGTGAGCAGAGTCTGAAGGAAAAGAGATAGTGAGCCATGTGGACAGCTGAGGAGGAATGTTTCAGGCCAAGGGAGCAGTCAGTGCAAGGGCCCTGTGGCAGCAATATGCCTGGTTTGTGCCAGAACAACAAGGAAGGCAGGGTGTGGCTGGAGTGCGGGGCTTGAGTCAGCAAGAGTGGGAGGCAAGAAGACCAGAGACACAGCCAAGGCCAAAGTCCTTTTCTCTGAATGACAAAGTCCTTTCCCTCTTTGAGAGAGAAGAGCCATGGTTTCTCACCTTGACATGGCACTAAGCCCATGCATCTACCTATTGGTCTTGACCTTGTGTTTCCCTCCTGTTACCAGCATCCTTAGTCACGTCGTCATGATCTCTGAAGAGATCAATGCTCCACTTCATACTGTGGCTCCAACACCTGACGTGTGTGTCCTCCTGGAGACAAGTAGGAATAGTCTGATCCCTGTTATAAGCTAATTGGGTTTATTTCCAAGAAGAGAAACAAGTGGAATTTTTATATCCTAAACGATATTTCTTTGACACCATGAAGGAAGTTTGAAAAAACATGGGCGCAGAAGAATGCCAGGTCTCAGGATGACCTTGGGGCTTTCTTGTCTGACAAACACTCAGCAAAATTGGTTAAATAAAATGGCCTCTGAGAAGGTTCAAATGGATTTCATTGTCTGTGCTGTACTTTATCATTAGGTGACGGCAGCAAACGAATCCCTATGCCAAACAGCCACAGAGCCCAAAAGAAAGTGAGCAGAGTCACACGGTAGAAGATTCTACACCAGGAATTTTGGGGGCTTGAAATGAAATTCATTGCATTTATTAAAAAAACAAAAAACAAAACCAACATAGTTTTTGCACACAGTAAATATATATTTTCCTAATTCCGATGCAAATTTTAAAAACATGACTTCCACTAGGACACAAATGACTGGTAGACTGCTTGCAAAAATGGCCTTGATTAGCCACTCATTCCTGGTTGTAAAACCTTTAAATGTGATCTTACACCTCCTCTCACCAAGAGATGAAGTGTCTTTCCCCACTCTTATTTCCGCCGGCCTTGTGACTTGCTTTGGAAAAGAGGATGTAATAGGAAGCAATACTGTGCCAATTCCAAATCTAAGCCTCAAGAGACTTTATATGCTCCCGTCCTCTCTGTGGGGACCTTGCCACCACTATGAAAACAAACTCCGAACAGCCTGCTACAGAGTGAGGGACCTTATGGCTCAGTCCGGCCAGCAGTCCCAGCTGAGGCACCAAAGATATAAGATAAACAGAGACACCTCCCCAACCGTAGATACTAGAAGGGGGCCAGCTGAGACCACCCTGCATCGCCAACTCACGAATCGTAAGCTAAACAAATGGTTGTTAAAAGCCCCTATGTTTTAGGGCAGTGGTCAGCAAACTGCGGCTCCTGAGCCACATTCGGCTCTTGGCCCCTTGAGTTTTTAGCAAAGGCCAGCTTAGGAGTACCCTAATTAAGTTAATAACAATGTACCTACCTATATAGTTTAAGTTAAAAAAAATTGGCTCTAAAAAGAAATTTCAGTTGTTGTACTGTTGATATTTGGCTCCGTTGACTAATGAGTTTGCCAGCCACTGGTTTAGGGCCTTTTTGTTACACAGCAATACTAACTACTACAGTGACTGAGACTCTTTATGACTCATTCATTGCCAGTGAGGCCACAGCGATGCCACTAACGTGATTTACACCTGTACTTCGCAGTCTGGGCCACAGTTACTCCATCACTAAGCACTGTGCACCATGCCAGTCATCCTTCATTATTACAAGGGGAGGATTTAAACAAAAGGGTGATTTAAAAGATCCTTTGCGCACAGTTCTGGACTTTGGAAACTTGTGGTGCTTGGGCTCCCAAAGGCATGATCTCCTACCGCAGCTCTTCACTGAAGACTTGTCACTCACTGGTAGGGGAAGGGTGGCCCAGGCGGGTCTACAGGCGAAGGAGACGAAGGTCACCAGAGAGCCAGTCCAGCTGCCTCCTTACCTGCTGCATCCCTCTGGCCTGCCGGTCGCAGCACAGGGAAGCCGCCAGCAAACAGATCTCCCAGGGCTGGGGGCGTGCTCCCTCCTCGAGAGTTTGCAGCACCTCCTCCTTCTTTGTTGGCTCCTTTAGGACCTGCAGAGAGAAGAGGCCAGTAGACGAGGACTTGTGAGCAGAGCGAAGCCGCCAATTCTCACCCGGGCGCAGCCGGACCCTGCCGGGGACAGCCTCCCGTCGTCCGCTCATCTGCAGTGCTACCCTTCCTGATGGCATCTTTCCCAAGCACCCTGTGCCTTGATGCCTTGTAAGCTGGTGCCCGGGTCTGTGTGCTGTCCTCGCTGGGTCTACCAAAGGACCAGCCACTCTGAAAAGTGACTGGAACCCAGGGGTCTGTCCACTGCCGGTGAGTAGATACCAATGGAGGAACCAGCGATGCCTCTCAAATGAGAAAACCCAAACGTCATCGGTGCAGGGCTGGTCCTGTTTTCAACTTGACTGTGGCTGTGGGAGGACTAGCCAGGGAGAACCACAGATTTAATGCAGACAGTAATTGTAACTTCCTTCAGAGCCTGGCCCCGAACTGCAGGCAGGGAGTGAAGCCACGCAATGTCTTGTGCTTCAGCATCTTTCCTTTCCTGCCCCAGCCCTGCACCCGTCCCTGCACCTTTCCGTCTACGGAAGGGCCCGGAGGAGAGGCGTCACTACTTTCAGCCTTCCAGACGCGTGTGATACCATCTACATACGATGAGGAGACGTTCAGCTTAGACAAGGATTCCTGACAGAAAACCAGGGTGACCTAAGGCTATTGTGCTAATGAGGAGAAATGAAGGCACAGTGCCCATTGGTGGACAAAACATGGCCAGGTTATTCTAAATACCAGTATTTTCTATTACCTGCTCATCGCAATGATTAGGAAGCGAGTGTTCCTACAAAATGAACTTCTCTGTTCACTGGGCTTAACCAGTTAGTTAGTTAGTGGGTCTAGCCAGAAACTAGACTTTTATTGTAACTGTTGGAAAGATTTCTTAATTTGTCTATCCTTGAGTATCTATATATGTAAAAGCCTAAGTGACTGTTACCATAGGATGACCAGCCAGTAGCTATGACACACACTCATCACCAGGGGGCAGACACTCAATGCAGGAGCTGCCCCCTGGTGGTCAGTGTGCTCCCACAGCCAACCTCTCACAGCTGGCCAACCTCCTGGGATCCCTCCCCCAAGCTGGCCAGCCCCAATAGGCCCTGATCAGCCCACATTGCTGGTCAGGCTGAGGAATCCCACCCATGCACTAATTCATGCACCAGGCCTCTAGTTAACATATATAATTATAGATACTACATACAATTATATTTTTGGGACTACCTTTGAGAATTGACATCATGCTCACCAGTGAAAAATGGGTGAAGACATAATAATACCTGGCTTGATAAACAGTTTCACATATATTATTTCAGCCTTCCACTATCCTGACACATACGAAAAAGAGCAGGTATTATTCTCTCTCCCATTTTGCAGGTGAGCACACTGAGTCCCGAAGAGGTTCCCTGGCTGGCCCGGTAGCAGAATAAGAAGTCACCTGATCCGAGCCCAGGGCTCCATTCACCCTCTCATTTTCTAGAAGACACAGAAAGCTCAGTCCTTTGAGCCTGTGAGGGAATACCAAATACACCTTTTCCCTTGTGCCAAACAGAAACTCTGCACTTTTTAATGTTGAGACTCTATGTTTTCTCTCATTGAGTTTGAGGACTATTTTGACACAACCACGTTTAAAGGTTACCCCACAGGGGATAAACACCAAGTGGTATATCCCAAAATGAAATATTAGTCAACAATCAAAAGGAATGAAGGACTGGTTCCTGCTATATGGATGGGCCTTGAAAACATGCTGCTCCATGAAAGCATCCATAGAGGCAGAAAGTAGACTTAGTGGTTGCCAGGGACTGGGGGCTGAGGGGAAGAGGGAGTGACTGCTAATGGATATGGGGTTTCCTTCCGGGGTGATGGAATGTTCTGGAATTAGAAGAAGGTGATGGCTGCAATCACACTGTGAATGTTTAAATGCCACTGAATCGAACACTGCCAATGGTTACAATGGTGAATGTTACAGACTATGTATTTTATAATGATTGTGATATCTTTTTAAAATATATTTTATTGATTTCTTACAGAGAGGAAGGGAGAGAGATAGAGAACTAGAAACGATGAGAGAGAAACATCGACCAGCTGCCTCTTGCACACCCCCTACCGGGGATGTGCCCGTAACCGATGTACATGCCCTTGACCGGAATCGAACCTGGGACCTTTCAGTCTGCAGACCGACACTACCACTGAACCAAACTGGTTTTGGCGATTGTGATATTTTTAAGCACTGGCGTGATGACTGAGGATCCCCACACACTGCCTGCACACCTGGAGGAAAGCTATGACTCTCCCATGTGGCCTGCACACCGAACAGGTCTGAGAGGGTCCGATGTTGTCCTGGTAACAGACGAGGCCCCTGCCCCGAGTGAGCCGGGGGTGTCTGTCTGAGCTCCCATGCTCCTGGGGCTCGGGGTGGTCCTGGCCCACGTGCGCACTTACTCTCAATCTGCGGGGCGCTGCGGTCATTGATCTGCGTGACTTTCCGAAGGCGAGTTCCTTGCTGGATGTCAGCCAACAGTGCACTTCGACCTTTGGGATCGGCCTTTCTCAAGCTGGAAGCTTCTGTACTCGCCTGGAAGGAAGGGGGAGGGATTCGATTAGAATCACACGGAACATGTGCAGAGAAGCCCAAAGTCCTGTCTGCTGTGAGGTTTCCCTCCATAGTCCACCTCGCCTGCTTGCCCTGCCCCCACCATTCCTAAGGCCGTCCCACCTGGGTCTTGGGCATTTATCCACGGGACGCAGTGGACACTTAGCTCCTGCTGCCCACACCCCTCTCCCTGGGAACCCAGCATGGACTCATTCTTGTTGCTCACAGCCCTATAAGTCTCAAGGAAGCCTAAGTCACAGGCCCTCTTCCTCCTCATAGCTAAGGCCACATGCAGGCCCGGGCGTCAGTCTGGATGCTCCTGACCCAGGCTGCTGGATTCCGGGTGATCACTGCCCGGCGTCCCAGGTGCCCTCTGGACCACGCCTTTGCTGAGCCCAGCTTGATGACGGAGGTGGTCCTGTGGCCCTGTCGTGCCCTGGGCTATTCTCCTGAGTGGCACTAAGTAGCGTGGTACTCATCCTCCCTGCTGTGGGTGGCCCATTGTGTCTCAACAAGAACTGGTTTTGAAGCCATAAATGAAGTCAACTGTGGGTTTAGCTAAAATGTGCTGAGTCAGCATTTTCCTGGCCGACTACTGCATGATGAATCAGAAGGACAACAAGTTCAGAATCGGTTCTCATTGCCGGGAGACATACCCTTTGAGTCCCTGAGAGGGGCTCATGGTCAACAGTAGAGGTCTGAGCTAGGGACCCCAACCCTACTGCTCCATCATTTCCAGGAATGCATGTAAGCACATGCATGCACACAGGGGTTTTCCCACACAGCATGCTTGAAACCCCCACACATATAAAACATTAGCATCACTACGTTATTTTAAACTACAACATTTTGAGATTTTTAAATTTTATTTTAAAAGGTTGTTCATCAATCATTAGTGACAGGAAGAAAGGATCATCAGAAGTATCACAACCCTAGCCAAGAGAGTAGGAACATTTTCTCAAGAACCTGGCCCTGTAATCTCAGACACGTGTCATGGTCAGGGGTCAGGGAGAATGTCCTCTGTCACTTTCTTCCTAGTTGCAAGGTGACCAGCACCATGAATTAAAATGAATGTCACGACCCGGCTCAGGTGCTGGCCCCAAGGAAGGCAGAGTGAGAAAGGGGCGTTCTTCTGCTTAAGACTGGAGAGGAGCACGCTTAATCCTAGTGACCTGCGGGGGGTCGTCTCCATATCAGAATTCACCTTCCCACCCCACCTAGCCCACCCAGGCTTTTCAGGAGAGGGCTGTGAACAACGTTGTACGTCCTCAGGGCTATGCTTTTGGACAGATTCCCGACTTAGCACAGGTCTCAGGATATTCTCGATGAGTCCACAGGACAGGTTTGTGGATAAACACCTTCCAAACCAGTGGGAGGGCGTGGCAAGGCACGTCACGTTTGCATGATGCAGTCCAACTCACAGGACTAAATTTAACAGCCTCCGTGACTGCTCAGCTTGCTTTCCTGCTCTCCGTGGGCCCGGATGGCTTTCCACCAGAGGGCCCTCCTCCCCTGGCATGACTGTGTGTCCTCCAGTCCTCTCCTGGGAGGTGGGAAAGAAGGAGGAGCTTCAGGGCTAAGGTGGTCATGCAAACGCAGGTTCACCGAAAGGGCAGCTAAGGGCTCTTTCATTTGAACACGGAGAACTAAAGCACACAGACAGTGGTTCCTGCCATCTGCAATAGCTACTCACTATTAAATCAAAACTTCTTAAAAATCTACAATCCTAAGCAGTCTTGTTACTGTGGTAACAGGATACAGAAACAGGAAACTGAAGATTTCCAAATAAATCTCGGGCTTTTATTCTATGAAAATCCCGATTCTTGGCAACTTTACTAAAAATATAATCAAGGGAGAGAAAGCCATTCTTGGACACTTTTCCCAAGGCAAACTGACCCACCAAACCCATTCCCTCTTCCCCCCGAAAATGAGAAACCAAAGCATCACTGCAAAGTCTCCCCCGGTTCCTCCATGTTAGCGTTGTGAGGTGGGAATATTTGGGGGATTCCACACAGACTTTTGTGGGCTCCGTTCTGCTAGAGCAAGTTCCAATGGACTGTTACCTAGACCAGAGAGCTGCCTCATACATGTATATATATGTTTATTCCTCACTATTTATTTCCTGGACCTGAGCCTCCGAGCTGGTCCCACAACGAGATCCCAGTAACTTGGAGGCTGCCCTCGCGGCTGTACTGAGAGCACCCGCTGTCTGATTCTCCATCCCCAAGTCACGGACTCAGCCATCCTGCCCCAAGCAATCCTTCCACCTCATCATATATTTCTCGTGGAGTTTAAGCTGCTGTGGATTCCTCATGAGTTTCTTTCCCACTCACAAGCCTGTGCTCATGCTTTTGCCCCTCCTATGACCATCCTACCCCCCTGCTGACCCCCATCCCTGGCCTCACCATACCTGCCAAGGCACTTACTTCTCTTTTAAGCCTCACATCAAAGAGAATTTACTTGAGAAAATCCTTTTGTCCGTTTAACTTCTTCAACTAATCTTTTCCTTGTATGATCCCCAAGTGCCTGGTCATTTTCTACCGCACTCTTCAGGTCCAGACAGATAATATAGCTTTACATATTGGTGTTTCCCTTCTTTGTGAGTGGAAATTCCTAGCATGCAAAAATGAAGCCATGCCCCTTTTAGTATCAGCATATCTTGTTTTGTTTTTTTTTTGTTTTTTTTTAAACCATGTGAACAGTCTATCCATATTTTGTGGAAACTAACTCCATAGACACCCTCGCCCCTGGGTCCCTGCCATCCGTCCGCTCGGACCGACCTCGGAGAGAAGCTGCGGCCTTAAGGCTCTGCCACGTCCCGGTTCTCCACGTGCCCTCACGCTTCTTATCCTCTGGCCACTGTCCCGAGAAATGAGAATTCGGTTCAGCTCCTTTCTCTCTTTCCTGATGATGCCACTATTCCTAGGCTTATAAGACTAAAATGGAATTATGGGAAAACCTAATGCTAAAACCTACCCTGGATCTGGGAAGTACAGCCTTGTAAACAACAACAACAACAACAACAACAACAGTCAGCAAGGGCGACAGGGTAAGGGCCTGGCAGTAGGCGGGAGCTGCTAGTACATAACACCTGGTTTGGACGGTGCCCCGCATCCGGGGGAGGTTTCCTATCTTTTATTCTCTTAGACAAAAAGTCCCATCAAAAAGAAACGTGTGTGCCCATTCCAACCTGCCCAGCAGATTAGTGTGTAAACTATATCAGGTTCAGCTCATGACCTCAGCAGGACTGTTTTCATTCCAAGCTTGAAATCTTGATTCCTTTCCCTCCTCCGTTTGACATAACCAGGGCTCACTGGCTCCTTCTCTTTCCTGTGACACACAAGTGGCTCTGGAGTCTGGGAAAGGAGGCTGCACCGTGCAAAGGGTGACAATGACAATAGCAATGACAAAGGGTGACAAGAAGACATCTGTGTGTGCCAGGCGCTGTTCCAAGCATCTTACATGCGTGAACTCACTAAAAGGGCCTTTGGACAGCCCTGTGATGGAGGTTCTGGTTATGAGTATGAGGCCCGGTTTACAGATGGGGCCCAGAGCAAAGCAGGCTGTCCGTCTCTGGACAGCCTCTTAGGAATACCAGCACCCAGGAAGCTGGGGAAGGTGAGACACCCAGGAAATACATGGCAAGCCCACAGCCGGGGGAAGGAAGTGGTCCAACCGCCCTCTGGCTTGGACCAGGGTAGACATTGCCTCACAAAGAGTGTGACAGGCAGAGCAGGAAGGAGGGGGCAGGAAGGGCACCAGAAGAAAAAGGAAGCGGGGGAGAAGGAAGGGAAAAGAGAGAGAGAGAGAGAGAAAAAGAGAGAGAGAGAGAGAGAGAGAGAGAGAGAGAGAGAGAGAGAGAGAGAGAGATACTTTTAGGAAGGCTGTGGCCCAAAAAGCTGGGCCTTTGCCAAGCCCGGAAAGGAGGGCCAAAGCTGCGTGCTGGAGTCTGATTCGTGCACTAAACACGAGCCAGCCGCCATCTTGGCAAGGGGTGCACTGTGAGCCCTTAGAATGGAAACTGCACAGAGTAACCCTACGCTGTGAGGCTGATACCCTCAACTGGAAATAGCCTGTACTTAACCCTCCCTGGTCAGGTAACACAGAACCCACCTGCCGGCCCACCTCTTTCTTTCCACGTGCCAGCCCCTATCTCCTTTCACACCTCCCTGCTGGCTGCAGGAGGGGTGAGGGCTTTCGGCACATGGCCGCCCTTGGTTGACTGAAATAGATAAGGATTATGGACATCGTTCAAATATGAAAGGAGACAAAGGCAACAAAAATGCCAAGAGGGGGCGGGGAATTCCAACATTCCTAGAAAGTTGAAGGTATTTCCGTAGGAGTGCACCTATTATGGATAATAATGCAGATGGATATGGACTTTCTCTCCCCACAGTCACTTTTCTAGGTCCTCTGTATGGAGAATGCACCAGAATTCTCTGGGACTGGATGTGGATTGGCTCCTAGAGAAGAATGGCCCACAGCTCCGCTCCAGGACAGCCCCGAAAGGATCTGTCAGCACTGCTGGGCCTGCAGCTCCTCATCCCAGAACCCGCTTCCAAACCTCTCTGGGTTGGGGCCCTTGGCCTCCGACTTGACTGCTCAGCACATGTGTTCTACAACTCTGTCATTACTCTTGGGCCTACATCAAATATAAGTAAATATAGAAAATTATTTCCATGCTGTAATTTTCCGGAAAAGTGTATGCTCTTCCTCTAATCCTTGTAGCATTGCCTGACTGAGGCGAATGCTCTCATCCTTCAATGACAAATGTTCACCGTGCTTCTGCCATGGGTGGGGCAGCCCAGGGGGAAGCCAGACACTTCCACATATTACTGGCTGGGTAAGACTCTGAGATGTGCCAGCAGAGCAGAAAGACCTGGAATCCGCTCCGTCTATCTTTGGACCTGCTGGCATTTAGGCAGCACAGATAGGTCACTGAGGAAGGAGCTGAGTTTGCAGCCCTAGGCTCATGCTTCCAA